GCTAATTCTAATTTAATAACTGAGCTCATTAATATTCACATCCCCATAATTCATAACATCATTACGTTTACATGAACGAAACTAACAGGTGTTCCCTGAAAGATTTATACTGTACACTGTCTATATCTATCTGTTTCACTGGCGTATTTTTCACTGTCCATTTTACAAAGTTAGGTTTCCAGTGTTTCAAGGAAAGGAGCAGTACAGTTTAAAAAAAAACGTTCAGGTAGGAGCAAACAAGCATCCCAGTACAGCTATAATTTTAAAATTGATTCCAGAAATATAGACATTGTTTAAATTACCCACCTGCGTACGAGGCTTCTGCTAGTCTATTGACCATTTGCAACTCTCTAAACTTAACCATTGACCAGTAGAAACGCTGACAGTTCAGCCTGATCCTGTTGCCTATTGATTAAAGAAATAACAAACACCAGTTACCATGAGCCATGGTTTCATGGGAGTTGTCTGTTTTTTTGGTCTGTGCAGATTAAAATGGGCCTATTGTACTAAGACATCTGGCACACTAATCAGGTGGAAATCTACCTGCAAAAAAACAGACAGATGTTCCAATGACTGTGCCTCAGATTAAACCCTTTTCGCTATATGCTTCTCCCCGCCCTTTGACCCTGTAACAAGCAGATAGTGCCCTTAAGTCACGCTCACTTTGAGATGGCGTGGTAAGGGGGCACGGAAAAATTTCAGTACCGCATGGGGCAGAATAGTGAAGCATGTTAGCAAAGTCATTACGTGATCAAAGTATCGTGAAAACGGATGATGGACAACAATGGAAGTTTAGACGTTCGCCATGTGAAGATTTTTTTGCAGGAAGCATAAAATTGAACCAACACAGCGATTTCTCTATTTCTGGAAAGTACCCACAGCTGGGATTCTTCCTAACAGGGTGCAGTGGAGGATCCTGAATGGCTGAGCTAGGAAAGCTCAGGCTTGGCTCTGTGATCCAGGTGCTGTGATCTTAACCCTGTGTCATGGCCAGGATTCCCAAAGCTGCATCTTTGTGAACTGAGAGCTATCGCTACAGAATCCCGGTTACCTCTAGCTAGGGGAGTGTCTCAACTTCTGCTGAAACAGCCTCTCCAGAGACTTGCCATGTGATCTGCAGGCTTGTAGAGGCATCTGTTAGAGAACCACAGCTCCTCTGCATGAAGTTTATTTCCTCTTGTTACTCATTCAGCCACCAGAGGTGGAAATAAAGCCCACAAATGAACCAATTCACTGCGGCACCCCCTTCATTGTTTGGAAAACTACTATTCGAGATACATCCTACAGAGGCAAAACTTATTGTTTACTTTACTTGTAGTTTCTCCTGCTTGAATGGTAATATTTGCTTGTGTGTCAGACTGCTCCGCGAGACAGCACGTATTTATGAGTAACACATAAAAATGGCCTTTTTTCGAAATGCACTCAGGCGCTACATAGAGAACATTACTTCAGATAACTGGTATTTTGAGGTATTAGAAATGTGGAAGAAAAAAAAAGCTAAATGAAAAGAGGACCTTCGCAAGAGGAGTCCAGATCAGATGAACATCCTATGCTTGAGCTATCAAGGCACAATTAGTGTTTAAATGATTGACCTGCTGCTTTCCTCAGTTCTAAGCACGCAGTGCCCTGGGTTCAAGCAGCAGCAGCTAAAACTCTCTCATTGTCCAATCTGCAGGAGGCCTGTTTATCCCCCTAATTTTTGCCTGATGCCAGATTACACTAGTTCAAACAAGACGGAGGCAACCAGTGGCGTATTATGCCATCGGAGTTATTAAACTGCAATATTCATGAAAATGAAGTTGTCGGGGATGTTTTTTTAAGATTAAATAAACATGGCAGGATCAATGGATTTATTTTCTCTCTCTCCAGTCTGATTCGGGCATGCAATTGGTCAGGCTAGCAGCTTTTTTATTGCCTGCTTTAAAGCTTTTGTTTTTTTCTTCTACCAGCAGATACACAAGATATTTGCCAGCAGGATATACAGTATGGAGATGAGAGGCAATATCTGTCCCTCTTGGCTAAGCCGTCCTGAGCCAGGGCTGCTAAGAACACACATCCCCTCTTTCCCGATAAGCAGACAGAATGTCAGCCTGCTGAGCAACATGCTTAACTGCAGATGACCCCAAACAACTGGCTTCAAAAGCTCTGATTGGCATATTTTTGCCTTTTTTGGCACGTGGGGAATGTGCACTTTTAAAGCAGGCTGAGGGTCAGTCCAGTCACGCTCAGCATGTGGTTCCAACATATTCCAACAAGAACCAAATTATTTTGATGTTCAAGAAGCTGGTTGTAGGAAATTCCTGCAAAGGAGTGGACTGAAAGAGTCTCATGTAGCCCTCATAAAAACACTTTGTGCAGAAGCGTGAATTGGTCCAATTAAAGGCTGATGAATGTGAGTGAAAAAGAACTTGGCATTGATAGTGTGTTGGGAATCCTGGCTCAGGTCTTAGAGTAGCAGAACTGTAAAATAGCATTTCATTGCCAATGTGTTTAAGAGTCCCATTAACAACACACTGTAGCTCTGTTCCGCTTCTGTATTCCAAGAGAGTCAAAAAGGACACAATCAAAGTGCTGGTTCATTATCAGGGGATTAGACAATGCCATTCCATTCATGTTTTTTATTTGAATACCAGTGGTTCATCAATCCCTTCAATCAAAATCTAATCATCCGTATCTTACTGTACAGTATGTGGCTGCTTAATGAAGGGATGCTGTAGTGTGAACTTCACTGTCCTGTTTGAATGACTTACAGTACCTGTCCCACCTAATTTTAGTTCTAGGTGATTGTTATGTCCCTGCATCCTTGCTTCATTGTTGAGATTGCAGTGGTACTTTAAATTGACCTTATTGACACCTTTTAGGAATTTAGAGTGTAAGAATCACCTCACCCACCACCCCCACAACATACGCGGACATACCATTCAGAAAGTCACCTTCCTTTCTAAAGAGATTCATCTCATCGAGCCCGTCTCTCGTGTCCTTTCCCATTTAGGTAATTTTAGGTGTGTTTTAGGTGTGTTGAACAACTGCATTTGTCATTAAAAGGGTTCTGTCTGTTTGAAAAGCTCTGGACTGTATTAGACTGCATTTTGAACTGTGAATATCAGTTAATAAATAATCCTGACTGTAAAGCTCAGATATAATGTGAAAATCCAATCAGACTGAATCTAAGTCCCATAGCCCTTAATAATGTAAGTAAATGCCGGTATATTCACACATACTGTATAATGGCAGTTAGCAAATGGTTAAAAAGGCTTTCAAATCAGTGTAGCCACTTCTGAGTACCAAAGCCAGAGACTTAAGTGAACTCCAGAAATTTGCTGACTGTGGACAGAGCAGTGGAGCTCAGTGTTTGGTCTTACCCCATCACCACACAACCGTTCATTGTCAATCTCTTCTCGACATGTTGAATGTACTGATGGTGTCACACCAGACTCTGACAGCTTAATGGCACAGGATCTTCATTTTTACCAGAGTAAGGAGAAGTATAGTCCTCGTACCAATCTGTCCAGCATTGCTTATTGTACATAGTGCCTATTTAGTGTGAGCACCAACTGCAAACACTTTACAAGGCATTCACACAATATAGTAAATGAAGAAATGATATAATGCAAGGGGACTTAGTAGTCCAGTGGTAAAGGTGAAAGAATTTTACCAGGAGGTTTTCTGTTTTATGCCTGGTTCTGCCACTGAGTTAGACTGAGCAATTTGCTTAACGGCTTTATGCACAGTGCTTTGACAGTAAGATAGCTATTGTATTATGTACAATTATAAAACAAATTGTAAGTACAACAGATAATAAAGCTGCATTAATCTTATCTTTTTGTATAAAATGTTTACATTATACTTTTTAAAACACATAAGATAAGTAACTTGTACAGTATATATAAAAACATCCACTTTAAGAACTTGTATGTCATTTGGGGTGCCTTGTAAGACTTCCTGGATTAGGGCTATCCAGTACCAGGACACTCCCGCATATAAGAATTTGAAATCATTCTTTGTCCTCAGAGCTCTCCCCTGACATTCGACAGCAGCAGACCAAAATGAAAACCCCTGGAGCTCTGTGAATATTAAGTGCAGTATCAACCCCTCCATGTTAGCAGCTCTGTGAATATGAAGTGTGGTATGAACCCCATACCCTGTGAATAAACAAGAAAACTGAAGAGATCTTTCTTGAAGCTCTTATTAAAGACCCTGTGTGTTGTGCTTTAGTTCTAACAACCACAGTCACACAGATTCAAGTTAAGGCTTTTAAGAGCCTCCTGCCCACAATGGGCTGTGCTAGACATTCAGTGTTTGCAAAAACAATTGCTAGACTGGGACTCAAGCAAGTGCAAGATAATTTAACCCAAGTATCAGGCAAAGGCACTTGTGGTCGTTTATTACTCTGCAGTTTCTTTGTAAAGCATTTGTTTCTTGCATTTAACGTGCTGTGCGGGTGATTGTGAGGGTAATCTAGCACCAGATCGAAGGACATTTCCTAATGCTCCTGGTCTTGAAAGCAATGAAGGAATAATAGACTGCAGCTAGCAACTACAGTACCTTATAAATGTGCTGCAATTAATATACCTGTATTTGACGCATCCCAGAAACAAGTCTAGGTCATAGGGATGCACTGGAGAATAGAGGAGATCTGTATATGTATTTGATCTGTTTATTTGCAAAAGTAATTCTTAACTTACTTTGATAAATTTTTAATGTTCCCTCACCTCATTTCTGCTAGACTCTGCTCCTTTCAACTGTGCAATTATGAAATAACATTGTGCAGAAGATGAAACAAAGATTTCTTTTTTAATATCATCATTCTCTGCACTGGGACTAAGAATTCCCAGGCCCATAACTGTACTCTTCCCTCAAGTGAGACTTATTTGAATTTTCCACTTTGTTTTTTTTATTTTAATATACTCACAGTGTGTGGCAGGGGAAATGCTGACTTTGCAACCAGAAAAAGCACTGTAATCCAAGGAGATTTTCTTAGACTTCTGTCTTGCCCACAGGATAGTGCCACTATGCAGTTCTGCGCCAACAAACTGGACAAGAAGGACTTCTTTGGCAAATCAGACCCTTTCATGGTGTTTTACAGAAGCAACGAAGATGGAACGTGAGTTTTTTCACTTGTCTTTCACAGGGAAAAGCATTGGCATCTTGGGGCTTCAGTACTTTGCTATACAGTAGTTGCAAAGATAAGAACAACCTGCTGTTTCAGAGGAGTTAGAGAAGATATTTCCTGAGGTGTGAACTGCACATTTGAAGCTTCATGGCAAGAGTGGTCCTCTTTGTCTCTCAAATATAAAATGTAAAATACATTCATGAAATACAGCTTTCATTTGTGAGCCATGTCTTCACAAGGAATTACACACATGAAATTTTAACTTTGTAGTACAGATCTGCCACCACTATTTCCAACATTGCACAATCTTGTGTTAGTGTATACATTTTACAGTAGGTTTGATTACACCTGCTGTGTTATAACATATAACAAAGTATGAAATTCTCATTCACAAGAATGCACAATTGGATAGTAATCTACTGCCCTTTTCTAGTTGAAACCGAAATTGATGTCAGAAATGTCCTAAATATGGGCCATGTTTTACTGATCGCACTTCCCACTACCACATGCTAATACTCCCAATTATATCCTCTGTTTAGTATGCGTGTTGCTCAGTGTGTATTACACCATAGCAGGAAAAAATTAGTCACTGTGGTGAAAAAATGTTTCTGGCCTGGAGGTGGTGATTTTCTTCACGTTTAACCTGAGGGTGTGAGAATAATGAGTGTCGTTAAACTCCACAGTCAGATTTGGGTGTGTCTCTCCTTGTAAGGATCCGATTGGCATATGGTGGGACAGAGGATAATAACCAAATGGGGATTTTATAGCTTTTATATCCATTTTATAGCTGTAGCAGAAATGTGTGTAGATCTGAACTGTGTATTCTGTATGGAGAGCTCAGCTTCTCTCTGGTTTACCAGAGAATACAGAATACCATAAGCCCTTAAATGATATGTTTAAAAATATTAAACAAGTATATCTATTCCTTTATGGAAGTAAGAAGAGAAACAGCATACTGTGTGCATGATACAACAATTTAATGAGCTAATTTGGGACTACTATCTGTAATAGAACACATATGGCATCTTAATTATCTGGTGGTGAATTAAATGAGTGTATATTCATGCCCCTGGAAGTCAACGACATTAGGAATATATATCTGCAGGTTCTAAACCCCTCTGGAAACACAGTAATCTAGTCTGAATTCTTTTCACAATATGAAAGAGTGATACAAGTGCAAACTGTTGTTCTACTTTAACTGACTTTTTATTGAGCATTGATTTTTTACCCCTGGATTAATAATTTGCACGAATGTCAGTACTTTTTTTCTTACAATCATATTGTTTATAGAATAAACTGATTTGATTGTTTATAGAATAAACTGTTTATACTGTAGATCTGTCCTCATGCACCAAGCCTGTAAATTAAATGAATTAAATGATTAAATGTACAAAGTCAGAGTCATTCTGTGACACAATGTGTAGTGTTTCTCACATTCACCATATCTCTCAGCTCTTGAAGAGGACTTCTTAGAAGTGCTGAGCTGCAAGAGTACAAATTATTTTGAGTATCTTCCTTAGAAAAGCTATTCAGGGAAATAAAAAAGGAAATTGATTTAACTAATATTTGTTGACGTCAGACATCTAGAAGGAAACAGACCACAAAATCAGCAAAATTAACTTTTGGAAACTAATCAAATTAACCATTGATACCCCTCAATATCTTCTATCAAATAAGTACAAACTAAAAAACAGAACCTTATTTAGAGCAAGCACAGCTTCTTATGAAATGGTCATCTTTCATCAAAAATGTAGACTTTTAAAATAAGAAGTTCAAAACATGCCCACTAAGAATGATTCCCCCTGGATAATGTGTTTGTTGTTGTAAATTTCGACACAGTAGTTTACCACTGTAATAGCTGACAATTGTGGTGTTAGCTTCCGAAATCTGAGCGACTGTCAATCAGAGCCTGGCTGTCTATGAGATGGGCTCCTTGTGTGTCAGAGCAGAGGAATGAAGCTCCCAGCAGCCTGTATCTGGCTCAGGGTGCTAGAACAGATGTTTCAACATCTGGTACACTCCTATGTCACCTACACTGACATATTTTCTTCCTTCCCCCTGTTTTTCTCATGCAGTCTGTAAAGAGAGGTAACAGAGATTCCCTTGGCAACAAGATTTCAAGTTTTTTTTTTCTCTTTTAAAAGCCAGGCACAGCTAAGAAGAGCAAAATTTGTCCATATCAAAATGGCCTGATCTGAGGCCTGGCACTTCTGTTTTTGAGAGTGAAATGAACACTGGGAGTGGGATATGGATGCATCCAATTTTATTTATTACCTTTCATGAGCAGACTGCTTTGGACATGGACATGGTGACGGTATCGGCATTAGACTAAGTAACCGGCAGCCGTCTGGCCATGTGACTAAGATGGCACTCTGTCTGTTTCTCTCTGCTTGTGTCTGAAAGGTTTACAATCTGTCACAAAACGGAGGTGGTGAAAAACACACTGAATCCTGTTTGGCAGGCGTTCTCCATCCCTGTCCGAGCACTGTGCAATGGGGACTATGACAGGTAAGGTGTCACTTATCCTTCAAGGCATTATGAGACATTCCCTGAGGCCTGTGATGTTAAAATGTCTTGACACAACGACAGTGCAACAGCATCAGAACACCAAGCACAAAAGGGATGGGACACAAACACATGAGTATCTGATAGCCTTGCCTTAGGAATCATACAAAGGTCTCCAATGGTATGGTAGTACGTACCAGTGGGGGAAGCTGGATCCACACACTGCTTTTATGGATTAGCTTTTAAATGAAGCCTAGCTATAAAAGAATGCATTGTGCCCTTGCTGTTATCAGGCAGCTGTTCTCCATACCAAGCCTCTAGTAAGGCATTGATGGGAAACAGATGTTTGAAGGCAGATATACTCCCTAATCTTAACAGATCATTGTTTCCGATTCACCTGTATCTGGATTAGCAAAGTGTCTGAGTGCTGAGTGATAAGTCGTGAGGTTTGGGTGAGTGGAGAAGGGGGCGAGGGGAGAAGGAGAGAAATTCTGGCCGGAAGTCACAGGATGTGAGCTGGTGGGAGATTAGGTGGTCACCTTCTGAGAGAACCATGGCTTACAGAACACCAGATGGAAGAGATGATAGGAAAGAATAGTGAAGAAATACAGAATCCGAGTGAAAGGAGGAGACAAAAGGACCGTGCCAGTATCAGGCAAGGAAATGCTTTTACGGTATGTTAACGAAGAAACTCTTCTGCGAGCCAGCAGCTGCTCCGTGGTGGAGTTAGCCTCTCCCTCACAAATCAGAGGAAGTGAGGATCATCTCCCTGTCAGCTTCAATCACGACGACGAGGACAGGGGAAATGTCAGGGTGAATTTAATCCTTAGCGGTTTGTGCTTTAACCCTCCAGCTCTCTGGCTTTGTGAGGGTAATGCTTTGTGACAACTTCAGAGTCAAGACAACACCAGAGGACGCTCCAGACACCAGAGACCTGGTGTGTGAGAACGAGGGCCATCACAGGTTAAGCCCTGACCAGAGGGCAGGATTGTACATGTAGTGCTTGCCTGTGTCCGATTTGAATTTCTGTTGAGCAGTGTCATTATAACACTTATGACAATATTGACCTCTGCAGTGATCCATGGCTCATACCAATGCTGATGGTGTTGAGTGATATTTCCCAAAAGAATTGTCTGTGATCTGTGATCTGTATGTACTAATGGGTATAATTAGTTTCAGGAAAAGAAAGGATACTAATGAAAGGAATGCATTGGCCCACACAACCTGTCTGTTTAGCTAATTGATCCAAGTACAGTACCTCATCTGGTCATTTCCCAAAAGAAGCAAGGTATGGACTTTAACAACACTGGCAACTTGTTTTATGCTCCCACTTTCCTTTGTGTAAAGACATGCTTCCTATTCTCGTTTTTATCCAAGTCTCCTCTCCTCTTCAGACAAAAAACACAACCACCTCTGTGCCTGAGTGATATACAGCTGCAGAGCTGTGCTGCCCTGACTGATAGCTAAATAGCGGTTGCTAAATCCAGCTCTTCCTGAGAGGGTGTTTGGAAGAACTTGCCAGGCCTGCCACCTCATTTGCTCACACAATGAAAATTATAGGTCAGGGGATCACCATAGTACCAATCAAGATTGTCGACATTTCTAGTCCTGATTAGAAAGAAAATAGGACCCCCAGGAACTCTGTAACAGAACCCATTTATGTATTTAACTCTTAGTCTCCCTCCCGAGGCACAGATTCTCATCCTCACTCCTTCTCCAACTCCACACTGCTTCTCCTTCGACAGTGGCTGGGTTTGGTCTCCTTGGTTACGGAGGGCCTGGACTTGTTTGTGTCACCCCTTGTTTATCGAGTGAAGGGACACCTCGTCGTCATCTCCAGGCTGTGCTCCTCCTGCCTGTGTCCTTTTGCTTATATTCCTTCAAACCTATTCATGAATGTTTTCAAAAAGCTGAGGCAATCTAAAATAACGCTTTTGAACTGTTTTTCCCCTGACAAAGTGGGAGTAGAATGAGTCTCCAAGAACTTATTTTTCTCTTTGGGCAACTGCTCCCTCTGTTGTAAATGATTTGAAAGGAAAGTTTATCTACAGGCAAAATATCCAGTTTATTTTGTATTGTGGTGGTGATTTTATCATGGTTTTTACTTTTATGTATACTTTCCCATTTTTATGATGATACATATTTTTTATTGGTAGTTTTGATCATTTCTAGAACTTATTCATCAGCGTTGCAGCCAAGGTGTTGGTAATAATTATTTTACTCAGTTTACGTTTCTCAGTCCTTTTAAGAGTAGTCATTCCCCACAGTGCACCTGTCCTTCTATTGTGGTCCGCTTCTGACATTACAGTTTACATTAAAGTGCTTCCAAGGATTTTTTAAATTTATCTTTCCATTTCTATGTGTCCCTTGAAAAAGGTGCTGTTTTTGCAGACCATAGGCACAGACACAGGGGGTTAGGATAGAAGAACCACAAAAAAAATGTCATATTTCCATCTTAATCTTCACTCGGCTACAGAAACAGATGTTAATTAGAGGAGCTGCTGGCTGTGTTTGATCACAGGGCAGTGCAGGGAATTCAGTGCCATGCAGCGCACTCTTACTCCAAACACGTCTGCTGCTGCCAGTTCCCTGAGGCCCGGTGCCCCTGCTGTGCGTGGGGGTGAGTGTGGCACCATGCCTGCGTCTATTTTTAATCCACGGCTCGGAGAGATGAGATGAGCGACAGCAGTGCCAGGGCACATTTTTGATCTCTCCTCCTCGGTGCCAACCACAAGATCTCCATTTCCTCAGACTACATGCTGAAGTTATACCCCTCAGAGCTGACGCTGGGAATGACTCCTACACAAACAAACCTCTAAAAGAGTGGGATAGTCCAGTTTTCCATAAAAATGTCATATATAAATCCTCTGTCTCATAAAATAGGTGCTATACCGTGCAGATAAAGGTGTGTTTCTGTCAGTTCCATTTTGTGCCTGGTGTTTTACCCCCATTATATTATCACCGCTTCTAACCCTGAGATTTGAGCCTTTTTTCAGTGCTTTTGTAAAAAATATGTAATTTGTAATTTTGCATACACATATTTAAAATACATCTAATTTTATAAATGCATAACATAATTTATAATTTTGTCATACTGTGTATAACTTAACTTCTCAGGAAGTAAAAAAAGTAACTTGAGAGCACTACAAATATAATTGTTTTGATTTTTAATTTACTTCTTGAATGGGAAAGCAATCTAACAGATTTTATTTTTTATTCTTATCCAGTTCCAGCTTTGTTTGAAAACACTGTTGAGTTCCTGTGATGGCAGGGATCACATTTAGCTTTGAAACTGATCAAACGCTTATTCTAGCTTTTTAACAGTACACAGATAACATTCTTTTACATGTATATTAATGTGGATTGGTTTTAATGTCTTGTGATTTCCTGAAGTCCTACAGTATATTACATTTTGCAAAGTGATGATAACAGTATAGAGATCTCTTAACATTTTTTCAGAACAATCAAGGTGGAGGTGTACGACTGGGACAGGGATGGCAGGTGAGTCAGGGGTGTGTGCAGTATGTGTGATTGTTTTTGGGCAGGAGTTCAGATGTGGAATGGTGACAGAAATGACTAAGGAATGGGTATCTTCCATTGTAATTTTTCTAGCATAAGCATAATTATGTCTGTATTTATTTGTATGCCTTTAATACAGTTATCTGTATGGGTGGGCTTTAGGAACAGGTTACAAACTGGTGGATCTTGTTTGTAGTAACTGCATATGGGACAGCATGCAAACTCCACACAGACAGTATCCTAATCTGGACCCTGAAACATGGCTCTCCCTTCCATGCCACCTCACATGTATGGATGTTTCTTGTAAAGATTTAGTGGTATACCACAATCACAGCAGTATACATCTGCAGTACTAACCATGGAAGAGGCCCAAACTTTTAGGAAAGCTGCACAAATGCATTCTTATATTACCATGATAAAGTCTCACTAGGCATGTTCTCAAATGGCTGATCTGTTTCAAATCAACTGACAGCTCAGACACAATTTCGAATATTAACAGTCTGTCATTAATGGAGGTCATAAAGGAACACTGTGGGCATATTTAATATGCATGACATCCACTGTTCTGTAACACACATAGCCAACCTAATGGACACTATCAATTACACTCAGGTCCTCGCAGTTAGCACGTGATTTATACGCACTAATGAGAATGATAAAGAAATCGAGAATTTTCAGTCTAGCTCTTTCCAAAGGACTGAACCTAGGTTGGATTCGTTTTGTAACTACATTTACTAAGCCACAGTAAGCTTCTTTATTATTGTCTCTACTCAACATCTTAAGATTTATAGTATTAAAGCAGCGGTATAGTAAGACGTGGTTAGGTGGCTAAGGTATAGGACTCATTTTTTGGAGGGTCCTAGTTAAAACCATTATGTGTCATTCTAAACAATTTACTGAATCTTCCTGTTCTCCATTCTTCAAAGAAGACATACTCCTATTCTACATACTGTAAGGTACACTGATTCAAGGCATCATCTGAATGACTATATACAGCATAGTATAATTACATCAGGATTTCTCTCAGTACGTTCATCCTTGTTCAGTGTCACAGTGATGAGTTTTCTCATAGTAACACAATCTGATGAGGTTGAAGCTGATCTGATCTTTGTTTTGCTTGTTTCCAATACAGCCACGACTTCATTGGGGAATTCACCACCAGCTACCGAGAACTGGCCCGGGGACAGAGCCAGTTCAATGTCTACGAGGTGAGTGTCTCACTCCACATGCTGCTTGGGCAGCTTCAGCATGGGCCCTAACTCTGGGGCCTAACCAGCTGTGATCAGTTAAGCTGGAGATTTGTTCAATTAAGGAATTTAGAGTTTCTTGTGAAAAAAAAATTTGATGACCCTTCAGCCTTTGAAAAGCACGATTTAGGCTAGATCAAATTACTTGCTTATTGATCGGTAACTTACATTTACACCCAATGGTTTATACAGTAATAAGACAGTGAGGAATGAAACACACAGAATGGAGAATAAAGTACAGGAAGCATGCGGTCAACACCTGCACTGATCCCATCATTAAGTAAGGAACTAATAGAAGATTATTTAAAAACTTTTAGCGGGATTAAATATTATTACATATTTTTGTATCATACCCAGGAGGACTCTCCGGTTATTATAGGCTTTCTGCTGTGAGAACTCAGCTTAGCATTTGGTTTGACTTGGTTATTAAAAACCTGCCATGTTGAATTAGGCAGAGAATTAGTCAGCTTGTTATTATTGGATCAGCACATCAAGAGGAACAGCGGACATAAGGGAGTGGGCAATGGGAAATATCCTTTTATTTTTGTTGACTGCAGGAAGCCGGGCTCGTTTCTAAGCTTTGAATATGTGTGTTTTTAGATCATCAGAGTGCGGGGAGTAGGAGGGAAGGCTGGGGGGAGTAACCTGCTTCAGCCCCACCCTAATATCTTCACAGGAGATCTGCAGAAAAAAGAGCTTGTGTCTAGGCCAGGACTGGAAAAAAAAAACAATTAACAATCAACTATGCAATTAAACCCAATGCACTTGGTGGTTTTAAGTGGGAAGTAAGAATGTAAGAAATGAAAGGAGCCTGTTCAGCCCATCTAGCCTGTTTGGAAATCAGAAGTTGATTCATCCAAAGATCTCATCCAGCTGTTTCCAATTGAAACCAGAGTACTGGCTTTAGCTACATGCCTGAGCAGGCGTCTCTACTCTCTCAACCCTTTGCATAAAGAGATGTCTCAGGGTCTTGGTGTTAATGCACCTCCACATAGTTTCCATGTGTGTCTGCTATTCATGTTACTCTATTGATTCTGAAGAAGGCTGACTCTGTCGATGCCTTTGAGGATTTGGAATACTTGCATCAGGTGCCTTTTGTTCACCTCTCTGTTCAAGACTAAAAAGGTTCCATTACTTCAGTCCATCAGTGTCAGGCATTCCCTTGAGCCCCAAAATAAAGAGCGATAGTGAGCTGTTAAAAAGTCAGTTCTGAGAGTGAAGCTTCTTAAAGCAATCAGCTCCATTTTCAGGTCTGTTAGTCTGTCAGTTTAGGACATCCCATTAAACCCAGAAACGTACTGTTTCTCTTCTCTGGACTGATTCTAGAACAGCAAAATCTTTTCTGTAAGATAGTGACCAAAATTGTTCTAAATGTGTTCTTACTAGCGCATTGAACAATTTTAACATAACATCGCTGATTAAGTAGCACAGTGTTTACATCATGTGTCTAGCTGGGTTATGAATGGGCTCTGATGGATTGAACTGCCTATCACCAATCTTAGATCTTGTGTTTCCCTTTTGCAGTTCTTTTTATTAGCTTTGTAGTTTAGCTTTGCAGGCACATCAGTGAATATTATGGAATCTGATGTTTGCACTTTATGAATCATCATAAAATAAGAACACTTCAGTGCATATTATGGGGCTGTAGACCTTCAGTAAGTTGACCCAAATATAAAGCACACCAGGTCCTCGATTAAAAAACAGGATGGAGAGTCACCTGGTAGTGACCTGGGCTCTAAGTGGTTCTCTAAGGAGACAGATCACATCTAGTGCTCATAGTTGTCCAGAGTGCTCCTGGAAAAAGTCATTCTAAGGCAAACATTCTGTTGCTGATTTTCAAAACTCCCAAGGTCTTGTTGTAAAACAACAGGAATTGACAGCAGCTTACATAGACATTTTTGTGAAGGAGAAGGGTACAGTATAACGGGGCGGGTGAGTGTGTAGTTATTTGTATGTCACGAGACTAGGGAGGTTTTTCCAGCAACACTTTTACTTGAATGGGGTTAAAATAAACACTTCACAATGTGATATGCTGTAACAACATGCATTGTCATTCATACACTATTGTGCTAATAACATTACTGACCTGCAATTATTGTAATGGATCATAGTGAGACGTAGTTTCAGCCAAAAGCTAAGAGCAGAACTCCAGTTAGGGAGGAGTCGGGTGGAAACAATGCAAAAACTAGAGAGCTGTTAAGAATATTATGCCCAGTAACAGCTGTCCTGGTATGTTCATGTGAAATTTTAGTTTGTAAAAGGTTTTCATGCATGTTATTATCTTGCTATTTAAGTGTACTGTATATAAACAGTATACCTAGTAAACATACCAATTCCAGTCAAGATCATACAAACTGGCAAAAGGGAGGATAGTGTATTAAAGGGCTAGTATTAAGAGAGATAACTGTGAAAATGGTCAAGAAAAAATTGTGTTAGAAGATGGGACTATTAATTGAACCACCTGGGGTCTCTTCCTCCCCATCTGTAGTTACAATTTTTTAAATATTTAAATGTGTATTATTTTAAATATTGTGGGTGCCCCCCCCCCAAACAAAATAGAAATACACAGTATCGAGCCATTGCACCTCTGTGTTTATATTTTCAAAATGTCTGAGAATGTTTGCATAAGAGTGTGCGCACGAAAAGTAGACAATTTGCTAAGAAACACCTGCATGCATTTCATGGCTGGTCAGCTTTGCAGAATTGGAGTAGAAATGTATGTACAGTAGAGCCTGATTGATGCTCAAAGTGGAATTTGTGGTAACAACATGAAAAAGCTGTCAGCTCTCCCTGCTGCGCTGCTGCCTGCATTTTATCTCCATCTCCATGTGTTTAGACTCATCATTTTTAGCTCTTTTGTTTAAAAGCGATTTCGTTAACCGCAGCAAATCTTTCTGCTCACAGTCACGTCTGCACCCTAATGGCTTACCTTCATGTGGGAAGTTTTATTTTTCTCAGTACCAAAGAACACAGGAGGTTCTGTCCCTCCCCCCAGTTAGAAGAAAAATTGCCCCTCCCTTAAGAGAAAGCCAACCAATTTGAAACACTTTTGCACCCATTGCTTATCCTTACTCAGAATGCGGAAAACAGGAAATCGTTCTCTCCCCCACCCCCCACACCACCACCACGCCTTCAATACTGTTGTTTATTCCCGGGACGTTCTTGCGGAGAAGCTCCAGGAGATTTATAAATCTTCATCAAGATATGTTGTTGCACATGGTACCTGGGAGATTCGTAATCGTAGAGGGAAAGATTACAGCTATCAGTTAAATCCTGCCTGCTGGGTAAATCATTTTAACCCTTGTTCTTTTTTTCTTCACTTACCTCACGCTTCAAGTGTGATAATTGTTGCTACCTGTCGCTGGCTTGGTGATGTGGACTGTCTGTGCAAAGGGGTATTTTCCTGCCCGATCCAACTGACCCAAATAGTCAGTGTTCAGGAATGCTCAGCATACTGTATGTGTAGCCAATTGACTTCTGCACATTTGTCCTGACATATCTAGGTCATTGCAAGGGCAGTGGCATAAAGGAAAACCATTAATGTTTTTCACCGTGTCCCCCGTACGCATTTTCAAGTGTACATTAATATCGCTGAGTGGGGTTTTCAAGCGTCATCGATGTACTGTTTGCAGTTTTCTTAATAATTTAATGTGGTAGAAGTGTTTCATCTTTCCTCCCCACTGTGGCTTAATTAGTGATGAGTCTCTTCACATGAATGTCAGTTTTATCTGTTTCCTTAAGTATTAGTCAGGTTGTTTGCAGCTGCAGTTGTTTGGGAAGGCTAAATTGGATTCAGGGGAGCGACTGACCAGTCAGGGCAGGAAAGCAACAGAGGTGACATTTTTGTGGTTGAGGGGTTTCTGAGGGTAAGGCAAGGTTATCTGTTACTAGGGAGATTTGGCCTATATGACCCTTGTGCTCAGACTTGGGTGGGGGAGTCAAGTGTAAGGGAACTTACACTTATGTGTAAGTTATGTGTACTGTACGTGTACAGTAGGTTGGATGTTAGGACTCTGGACTCATAAGCAGAATGTGGGGGACTGATATTGTATCCCTTATCAATGAGCTTCAACTGAATTTTTCCTGTTAAATGTCCACATGTATAAATGAGTGCAAATTTATATTGCTTTGGATAAAAGTAGCAGAGTAATAAATGATTCTCAATTTGTCTCATGATACAATACACTTCATTGATCCCCAAGGGATTAATGATTTGCATGATTTACACAGTTCATCAACATAAAAGATCATAAGAACTCTATGCAGACATGCCAGTTACTCCAAAAACAGTCATAAAGCATGGTACGTTGACACAATTAATCAAACTATGCAGTTTACTACTCTTAAAACAAGAACAGTAGAAATAGTAAAAGTCCAAAATCTTAAAATCCAGATCCACTTTTGTACTTAGTCCTCCACAGGCTCCAGCTGTGTCCCTATAATGGCATTAATAAGAATGATAATAAGAAGAAGAATATTTGTTCCTTTGTGATTGTGATTAAGATGTATGTTCAAAATTGGGATTCCATGTGTCTCTCAAACCTTGTTCACACTAACCACTGTGCACGGCTGGCTCATCTGCTGCATGAAGAGTGTCTGACCACACACTGCCTAGCTGTCAGCTTCTTAAAACTTGCTTTAAAAACTGTTACAAAGCTGCATCTGTTCTGTCTTTCCCAGCCACATGTTTTTGGGCTTGAACAGAATGTTCCTGTCAAGAGCTTTCGGATCTCTAACTACGATGATCTAAGTATAAATACTATAAGTTCCATGTATGCCTGACGAAGCTCAGATTGTAAGCTTGGCGTTGTGTGCAAGCCTGCAGTTTTTCTTAGAACGTCAGGCTTTGCTTTCTGTGTATTTTAACACATTCTCCTGGAATTTTGCTGACTTGCTCTGACTCAAGCAGAGAGGTAGTGTAAGAGAGAACGAGATAAGGAAATCGACAGAGAGCGATTATTACAAGAGTGAGTTGTGCTTGCTCAGATTACTAGAGCTCACGGTTCTATCTTTATATTTGTATTTCTCCGTCCCAGTAAGTTTTAAGCATTTGTCAGGTGTCTCGCTCTGTGGTTTTGGCTCCTGTGGTTGGTTTTCAGGGCTGTGGCTCAGCTATATCCTCTGGATATAAAGTGAATGTTGCTTCTCCAGCAGGTGAAAACTCTAGAACATAAAGAAGCTTGCAAAAGAGAGGAGGCCATGTGGTAGTAAGCAACTAATTAATCTGAAGATTTTATCCAACCGTTTTTTTTAAACATGTCTCGGTATTAGCTTCAACATTATGGAAGGCAGCTTGTTCCAAACCCCCACAATCCTTTGAGTAAAGAAATGTCTCCTGTTCTTGGTTTTACAAATTCACTTAGTTTTCACTTTCACTTGTTTCCTGTTGTTCATTGTTAATTAGTTTAAACTTGTCTTCTTTTAATTATTTACTCACACTTACTCTAGTAAGTGAAGATCTCTGGACCAGTCAGAGAGAGTAGGAGAATGTCTCTTGCTCTGTTACCTGTTGAATTTACTTTCTAACATGTCATTTGTGAAGTACCCAGCAGTCCACATATTTTATTAGTGTCATAAAAAGATGTGTTTCTAATGCAGGATGTACAGTATTGAATCTAGGTATCTATTTTTAAGTCCACGGCAAAGAGCGCATGGTACTCATGGACTTTAGACTGCAATATAGAACCTCTTTGTATGTTTTTTTTATATTTCAGGTGGTGAATCCCAAAAAGAAAATGAAGAAAAAGAAATACATTAATTCAGGAACGGTGAGTGCATCACCAATGGTCACATTTCAATGCTTTTCTTTATTTTAATGCATTTTATTTCATTATTGAAATACCTTTCTCCCTGATCAGTATTTGTAATGCAAAAACAAAAAACATTTGAGTAAATCGGAGTTCCTTAAGATTAAAATGAATAAACATTCTACTCAGCCCGTAGACTAATAAAAATAGCATTTTTAGGAAAAACATAAGCAAAAGGTTTCTTACACCATGAGCTTTTAAATGCAGCCTTATGTGAAACATGCTGTCCGCACGAATCTCAAAATAGCTGCAATTGCCGACTGTGGGTCTGTCGGAACAGGAAACTGTTATTAAGTGTAATCAGTGCAGATGGCAGGGCAGAGCGGAGGTGAAGAATGTAAGAAAAATCGACATGTCCTTCTCCGTATTTAGCATGTGAGTAACAGGAGAGGTCAAGACTTGGGGGGAGTGAAAGAATGTAGAAATACAGTGCACCCAGGAAGAAAGCTTTTCAAACGCGCCCATTACTGTTCCGAATTAAATTACCCACAACCAAGGCAGAACTCCAGCAGAGGTTCACAGTCTATACACGGATATGCTCTAAGTACTGTTTCAGTAGCTCAGTCAGATCCTAATAAATGTGATATAGGGTTGAAATGGATTAGAGGTTGTTTGGCGGAATTCGCTGGCTGAGGGAACAGAACTCTGGCCATAAGGATGAGACTGACAGATCCTCCCCCTCAATTTCTGGAGGAATGAGCCAGGGAGCTGCTCAAAGGGTGTGGATAGGGTATGTGAGAGATGTGAGATGTATAGCATATACTTAGGAAAGCAGACAGTAGGTACAGTACATGAGATTAGGATCTGAACTTCCTCCTGAATTTATGTTAAAAGTTCCATTTCTTTTTGCTAATTGTCTGTCTCACTTCACTTTGTTAAGTTATAGACTTTTTGTTATAGTACTATTTTTATCTAGCAGTACTGTATGTAGCATTATTCATTGTTACAGTTCAACAATTCTTTGAAGCCCTTGGATAAAAGGATGAGATAAATCCTTAAATGCAGCAGCAACTGCAAAAATTGTACTTTTATAGGAGTTTTATCTCTACAATGAGCTATACTGTCAATTTTCTTTTTAGTAAATGTATTAATTAAAGTTATTTCACCTACGTAGTTCTGCGTAAGCATATCTTTGTCTATAAAGCCTTCCCAAACAACTGCTCATCCACTTCAGAACAAATATCCCCTTTTCTAAAGAAAAGATGCCGTTTCCAACAGATCCCGAGTTGCTGTGCAGCAGACAGTTCATCTTGCTATTGTGCAAGCGTTTCCTTCGTTCCCACAATGACTGAAGAGTAGGACCAATAATCCGCTGTATTTCTTAATACAATTCATTTGCCGCTAAATGTGCAGGGCTGTAGTATTATATGGCACACAATGGAAAGGTTTCTCCAGACAATTTAACCACATAATTTAAATGTTAATGAAGCAATCAGTAATGCCATCACAATTTAATAAAAGGTTTATCCCTCTTGTAATATTGATATTAATTTTTTTTAAATTCACACTTAATTCCCATATAAAGTTGGTTTATCTACCTTGAACAGGTGTTTTTGTGGGTGTCATGGTGTTTCAGCAATTGGCACTGCTTTAATTGTTTAATTAATGTATAATTTCCATTATGCTGTATACTCCAGTTTTCTCCCATGTCCTGAAGGCATGGTGATGGGCTTAACTGATGTTTCTAAATGGTCCCAGTGACTATGTATGCTCTCCCTGAACCCAGAACCCTCAACCATAAGGAACTAGGCAGATTTCTGATAAAGAATAGTTGTTGATATTTGGCTTAGCACTGCTAAGGGTGTGTCTCCGCTAAGACGTTTTGTGGTGGTTAACCAGTTCCTATTATGTTCTTGTCCCAAGGTTACACTGCTGTCATTCACGGTGGAATCTGAATACACCTTCCTCGATTACATTAAAGGAGGGTAAGTGCACAAAGTGAGGGAGAGAGGCTTTGAGAAAGAAGCGTATTCAGTTTGTATGTGCTATCTTCTCGTTCTTAGCTACAGACTTTGCTTGTCTCATTCTAATGAAGCATTGATGTCATATGATTCTGGTTTATTACCCTTCGTTTTCACTGTACGGCTCCATGGGGAATATGTAGAATGTCTTTTTAAGATGATACATGTCATTAGGGCCTTAACCCAGTCTGCAGCAGTGAGTGTGTGATGTGTCCCTGCTACCTCTCAGAATCCTTCACCATTGCACCACAGGGAGAGGAGGACTTTTGTGATGCCATCCCTTGCTTGCCAGGCTCGTCCTGAACACTGTGCCCTTCTCGAAAAATGCTGCTGAGATTGCCAGTTGAGTTTTTTAAAAAGATATCTGCAAAGTGAAGGCTGCACATAGTGAAGGGCTAATTCAGGGTGCAGGCAAAAGGATCAGCCATGACTGAACAACTTGCTTTTTAGCAGTTAGGGGATATGTTGCATTCAGGCATTCGGAGATCAATAGTTAATAATCAAATTACCTTGAAAAGCAAACTCAAATCTTTCTAAATGGATCACTTAAGGGTGACCTAATCCTGCCATCTCTGTTTCAGACCACAAAGCCCTTGTTTCTAGTCCTAGATGCCTCAATCCAGCAGGTTTTTAATGGCCCTATTGAAAAGAGTTAAATTATTTCAGTTAAGCTAATAATTGTTCCAAATAGCCAATAAGTTATTAGCTCAGGCTGTATAAACACCCAGAAGACGCTGCCCTTCTCAAGGGCTGGAGCCTGAGCAGCTGTGCTGATGGTCACACAACACTATGAAGGGGAGAAACAAGATGGCACTGCTGCTAGCAGGAGCTGTATCAGAATATAAGCTTGTCAAAGAAGCGGGCTTCTCTGGACGCACAGCTGCTGGTAGTGATGAGAGGAGTGCTGCACACCCCTGCGTGGTTCTCTCTCGTTGTCTCCAGCTCCAAGAAACAACTTGGTAAATGAAGACGCTGTGCCCTCTTGTTCTTTTCACAAAAGGATGCGGAGTGCCTTTAATCCTGTAAGAACGAGCTGCTCAGCGCTTTTTCACTGACGCGGATGCACATGGCAATGAGCTTCCAACCAGGCACTAACATGAATCAGAGAGGGGGCGTACCGGAGGTGGGGGAGGTGGAGGCTGTTGAGGCTTGATGCTGATGTTAAGTAATAGCAAGGATCCGGCAGTTTCCTGGAGCGACTGCCCATGGGATGCAGGCTCCTGGCACAGGAGCAGTGGTGGGGATGGGAATGAGCCATTGGAATCCTGGGAATCAGTGCGAGTCAGGTAATAGCCTACAGGACGACCTGCTGTAGAATGCATCATGGCTTCAGCCAGCAGGTGTCACTGTGGAGTTATTTTTATGCCAGTGCCACTGTTCATGGGCAGAGCTTCATAAAATAATTCAAGAATATGATGTGATATTTGCAGCAATGTAACTAAGGAAGAATACAGAGAACTGCAGCATTTCCTGTGTAAATATGTCTTCTGTTTATTTTACAAATGCTCTTTTTATACATTTCTGTGGTACTGATAAATAAAAGTATAAGCAGTCTTATCTTATGATCAATGCCCTTCCAGATTATGTTGGGAGTTAAGCAGCAGGGAGCAGTAGTCACAATGTGTTATGGGTATGAATATTAATTTGCTCTTCGTCTGATTTCAGCACTACTAGACACAGAATGAAAAGTCACCAGACAGTTCCATCACCTATAGTACTTTCTGTCCACCTGTTTACAAGTTAACTACCTTCTAGTTATTTCTGAACCCCTTAAAAAGAAAACCGATGTGAAACACAAAGTCCAGCTGACATCTTTGCTGTGGCAAGAAAAGAATAAGTGGGGTAAATATAACACTCAAGAGGAGCTTCTATTAGAGTACTGCCTTGGAGTACATGTAGGTTGGAAAAGCAGAAGGTTGAGTTGGCCTGCGTTGATATGCAGTTTAAAGAAACCTGAACTCTCCTCCAACCTGCATTCTGATGGAAGTTTCATTCCCACCTTTTGCATTCAGAGGAATATGAGTATCTGTTCCATTGACATGGAACAGTAAAGAGAGAATCCCTGCTCCAGGCGCTTTCCGTTTCTCCTGTGAGCGGATCTCCAGCAGCTGCTAGGCAAGAATCGTGCATATTGGTCCCATGTTTTGATGACTGGGCTTTCCAGTAATTCAGTCATCATAACAAGAGTGCACTCTGTAGCTTGAAAAATAGAGTTTATGGAGTGAGTGTACCAACAGTCCTGGACCAATGAATCTGGCTAACCTTCAAGGTTGATTTCTGTAACATCTAGGCACAATCCCTGATTATATTCATGGCTACAGGGCCTATTAAAATCATGAGGAATAATGTGTAATAACATGTCTCGTAGTGTAAGATGACATTGTTACATTGATGTCACTTTCAGGATGCCAAACAACACACAAAGCCTCTGTACAGAAGGGCTGGCCTTATTGCCAAGGCTTGTCTGCTGCTTGTGTGGGCTGCGCATGTCAGGAGCAGGGAGATGTGACAGAGAGACAGAACTTGAACTGTGGGCCGGGGTAAATCATATGCACTATATGCTGATATTCTTATCATGCATATTATACTGCACATCATGTATTTTTCTTGGTGTAAAATGCAATAACAATTTTTGTCAAAAAATACAAGGGATTTAGTATTGAATGGAAATTTTCTGTTTCAATAAATACTTTTTTTTCCTCAGTTCAGACAATAGTTCCAGCTGGATTATCAGATCAGAGCAGCATGTTTCAAAATATCACTCCTCTAATAATACAACTGGACCACCAAGCTTCCAAAGCACACCTTATGTCTTTTATCTCTTTTATCTTTTATGTCTCTGTCTGAGAAATGTGCTCTCAATTTTTGACCTCTTCTTGGTGGTTCAAGTCAAAATGAGCCCCCACCCCACAGAGATTAGCTCAGTGCACACTGATTAAGCTTTGACTTTTACCTTTGCGGTGCTTGTGTCAGATTGACAGGCCCCCTGTGGTAACCTTTACTGTATCCTGGAGCCATGCAGCTGAGAGATGTTCTGGTATTTATGTAAGGAAGGGTACGTGCTCACTGGGATCAAATCCAGTTCCAAACACAACTTTTTATTGATACATTTGATGTTACTGGAAAAGAAACAGCTACTGAAAGCTCCCCTGAGGTTCCTGCGAGAAAAAAAAAGACGAAGTCTTCTCCAAAGGCTTCTCCAAATGGCTTGTGCTGCCTGTGTGAGAACTGCAAATCCTGTATAATAATTACATCCACAAATTCCCGCTATGAAAGCAGCAACTGATACTTCAATAACAGGGATTAGTTTGGATCTTGCAAATGAGTGCATTTAAATAGTGCAAAAGTCTGAAAGCTTTTGTAAAAGATACTATTAAAGATGACTCATAACCATGGTTTTCTGATCCCCATCTGGTAGCTGAGCCAAGAAGGTTGGGATTTCGTACTTTCTCTTGAGTGATTTTAAGTGAATAATTCTGACCCGCCGAACCTATATACAGTAGCTGTCCTCTCTGTAGCTCGGGAAATGAAAAACGCAGGAAATGCTGTGTTGTTCTCTGAACGCTCTGTGATGAATGAAAAGCAGATTTTTTGAGACAGTAGGTTCCCCACTGATCGATAGGTGGCCAGCGCTTTTTCCCTCCCTGGCAGCCGTATACCAGCTCCCACCCCCGTTCATAAGCCGTTTGAGTTCAGCTGTAACCATCAAGGAGGTTAACGCTGAACTTGTAAAATAAGGCACTCCCCTGATAAAACTGACCCTTGCTGATGCTAGAGCCTCTTACTTTGCAGGGCTGGCTCTTCTGCAGAGTCCCTTCAGCAGATGAGGAACAACTTCCAAACATCAGTCACTGTCAGATTAGAAAGAGGGAGGAAACATCAGTATGTACATCGTTGGTTCTATACAGTACATTAGTTCAGTCTGTGTGGACAATCTGCTTTCAGGGCTGTTTCAGTTTTAACACTGTTCCAGTAACAGATTTGCAATCCTTTTAAACACACAGTGATAGTCTTTTTGATTGCCAGTTGTTAATCAATTCTGCTTCACTGCGACATCAGATAGTGTGCTTTTAGAGTAGGCAGACATTTTCCGTTGATGGTAGTGGGGAATGATATTCCTTTTTCGTTTTGCTCTGCAAGAAACAATGGAATGAAGGAAGCATTTACAGAAACATGCAAAGAGTGGCATCTGTTTGCAAGTGTCTAGCGCATTGCAGAAAAAGGAAAATAAATTTGAAAGTGACAATATAAATTGACTACAGAGAGTCGGAGTCAATGAAAAGTCTGATAATGGGGGTGGTGTGAGGCACCCAGGGTTTCAAGGTCATCTCACTGCCTGCCTCACTACTAGTATCAGATGGAGGAGTGAAGCATCTCTCTCTGACCACTCTGCTAGATCACAGACACCACAGTGAGTCACAAGGATTTAACAGCGTTGGGCTGTAAAGGACCAAGGGCACTCAGCACCTGGCCACAGCTGGCCAATGGCATAGCTCAGACTTGGAGCCAGTGATGGACTACACCCTTTCTTGCTGATCCACTCCAAAGCCCAGCAAATACAGTTCATTATTATGTGGTTCCAATCTGAGACCTGTGCCAGAGGTGAAAATGCCATGAAGGCCAATCTGCTTCGGTGTCTGACCTAATTTACAGAAACACAGTGTGCTGCACCCACTTGCAGGCACGCTTTGTCAAGCACAGCAGAAAAAGAAAAGACATCAAATTCCTTGATCTTTTTCCGGGCGCCTTTTTCTTTTAATTTCTCTTCTCAAGTGCGGGCTCAGTCTAATAGCTTTTGGAAAGAATGGCTTTTTAATGAATTTTGAAAGGCGGGTACTGTAATGTGGGGCCCTGGCAAGGGGCAAATGTCACATTTTCCATTAATTGAAAAGGTTAATTCAAAATTTACCACCTTTTTATGAAGATTTATTGAATATTTTTTCTAATTGAATTTTGGCTGAAAGCTGCCCTGGGCCAGGTGCCGTCACAGTGTGCTGTGTGTGCCTGATTAATGCTGCCTGTAAGGAATGCTTCGGAACTGTGACAAAATGAGACAATGGCTAATTTAAAAGAAACCATCTTCATTAAATATAACCTATTGACTCTTTGCTTTCATTAATACCAAAATCGCTTTCAAAATCACTAAAAAACCATTGATAGTGACTATACTAATAATATGGTATAGTGCTGTTGGAGAATTAGTTCATTATGGCCCCTAGCTAGAACCTCCTTGTTATTATTTCTGTTTTTCTCATCGATCCACTGGAAGGTCCTAGTGAGGATAGTAAAGAAATTCTAATGGCCGTCAACATGCCATAATGACCTGGGAATATTTCCAACACAAGCTGTAGTTGCTGTAGTTCTAACACAAGCTGTAGTTTCTTTGCTAATTATTATTATTGTTATAAAAAATAGTAGGAAAAATAATTGTGGTTTTATCCTGGAAATCCTGTTGTAGTAGCAATTACTGTAATAAAAAGTCTCAGTGCCCTGTGGGGCACCTCTTGACCAGATGGCACTTTTGCAGTTCAATGTGTAACAGGGCTCATATTGCATTTTAAACCTGTTATGGCCACGTTACTCTCAATGATTCCCAAGAGGGTTAAGTGTCAGGGGACTGAGTGTCTGATTTTGTATTGATGTACATGATGAAAATTATGTTATTTTTCTAGCACAGAAACTTTCAACCTTACTTGTGAACAAATTTGTCTCATTGTCATGACTTTTGACCATCATACATAGAGACCTGTTGTGTTCTTTCATGCATAAACTTGTGCTTGTTGGAACACTCACCATTTCGTTCCAGTGTTTTTATACAGGAGAGTTAGGAAAGACTGGAGCCGGGATGTATTACTTACTGAGAACAGTGCGACCTTGTTCCTGGTACTCAAGTCCAGTGGACCCCAGAAAAACCACCACTTCCTGGAGAATCTTGTTCAGTCAGCTGATATCACAGCTTGTGTTTTAAACTGGTGACATTTAACCTTTGGGTTCAACCTGTGCATCGTGCCTCATTGAGCCACTCCTTGTCTCAGTGAGTCCAGTCAGTGTAGTTCAGGGACTCAGTGTATAAAGCAGAGGAGGTCATTCAGATGATCTTTCTTGTTTGGTTGCTACTAACATAGGGGCCCTCCTCAGCTGTTCCATGAAGGATCCCAGGGAATCTGCTTTAATAACATTCCATGTTATTCCCATGATCCAGGCACCCACAGACCTCCTTGTAATGGAGTGCTTTTTAATTTCAGTCTGCAGTGTGCTTCTTCTTAGTTTTTTCATTTGTGTCATCAGGTCCTTGTTTCACCGGTGATGCTAAAGTAATCCTTTGGGATGAGCCCAGATATAGTCTCCTATGTGGTATTTAAGACTAAAGAGAACCAGTTTGTTTAGCCTGTCTGTATAATATTCATTTAGACCAGGAATTTATTTTTTTACCCCCTTTGAACCAAATTGTGGAGCAAACAGCAGTTTAAATCTGGGGTCTGGAAGGATCATAAACTACACAATTCAAAAGTAACTAGGTCAGAGCCTCCTTGGCTTTTTGATTTTTATTTTTGGCTCCATCTGCTGTATGTGTGACATTTCGTGTGACATTCAGTGCTTTGCAAGCAAAATATCGTCACACACTTTCAATATGCTTTCCCTCCTTTTGAAAGTAATGGTTAACGATGATAGAACGTCAATAGATAGACGTAAAAACCCCAATTCCAAATACAGCTCATCAGCAGCATGGCTCTTGCTGAAATACAGTATGAGTCACTCGCTACAGTAATTGGCCACCATCACATCTTCGCAACAGGCTTGCAGAAAACTGCAAGAAGTGATTTAGCAAGAAATAATAGCAATGATTATTGTAATAACAGTATGCATATCACTGCAAAGTATTTTGCAGAACACACCAAAATGTGTGCTAAACACAGGGAGAGATGAATGCTTGAACTAATCAAGGGAATATCCATACTTAAATCTTAATGGCTCATCAAGCCACAAATGATCCTGGCTTCAGTAGCGCTAACCAGACACAATAACACATCTGTCCTCCCCTCCCTTGCCTATATAAATGCTAGTACTGATTTTAAAGTGGGTGAACAGGAGCAATCAGTGTAAAATGCCTCTGATTGAGGATATGACAGTAGTGTCCATATGGAAATCTAGTACCCACAACCTTCCCATTATTGTTCCAGAGCGAACGACTGCCCACTACTTGGTCCTTCAGAGAGGCAGAGATCAAATCAGTCTTCATCTCTCCCGCCAGTCTCTGAGACAGAAGCAAGAAGCAGGATGTAGTCTGGTGTTTAATAATCGATGAAGTCCTCTAGGTCAGCATTAGGTTAAAATAAATAAAAAATTTGTCATCGTGGAGGTCTGGCCTTTTGTCCATCTGGAGTCTGCAACCTGGGCCAGGCTTTTAATTTAAAAGTCTCCTGAGGGCAGGAAGCAGGCTGACATGTGTGACTGCTTCTGGGGAACTAGCCTCGCGTATTGAGAAGAGAATGACTGTTTTGTCAACTACTGTAGATGTTCACGTGGCTTTCCCACTCAGTGAACCCGAATTCGATCTCAATCCACGGATTCCCAGGAACAAACCCCAAACAGAACCAGGCATTTTCAGTGGTGATGCCTGGCGGCCCAAAACACACGCTACTTACTATACTCTGAGAACACCAAACTGGTTTCCTGTCAGAAGCCCCAGTGTGCAGAAGAGGTGATACACATCAGGCAAGGACAAAATATTTGAGAAATACAAAACATCCAAAATATATTCATACATTATTTTCCTATTGTGACAGGAGTGCATCAGGATTTGACGGTAATAATGGAAATGGAAATGACTTCTTAGTTGCACTGATATTGTTGTGTGCTCTTGCTTCAAAATCTTATTTATATAGTGCCTGTCATACCACAAGTAAATGCAACAAGCATTATAAAACCAAGGCCGGTTTGTAAGAATAATCAAGATTGGAGATGTGCGACTATGAGAACCAGACACAACACAACAATAATATTAAGAGCTGCTAGAACACAGTGATTGAAGTGACTCTAGTGAAACACCTTTCATTACAGTACAGCTGCACACTGAGCTGAACAATTGGAATAACAGGAAAGAAAAACAAGTTTATTCTGCGTCTTGTCAAGGTCTTCAACCGTCAGCCTTGGAATTCTCATGAATAAAACATGACTGGAGTCTTTCATTAAGAGCTGCGTGATGCTGTTTGCAGATTACAGATATCTCTAATGGAAAATTATAATTATTAACGAACAGAAAAAAATGTGCAGTCAAAGTGATATTGATTCGGTGCTTCACACAATTATCGGCTCTGAATTTAAATAACCACGACGACACCGGATACATTGTTTGTGCAAGGGATTGTTCTGAGTAATTACATGCGGACGTCAAGATTGCCTCTTTATCTCATTAGGGCTGCCTTTTTAAAGATTGTGTTGGTCAAAGCAAGTGCAGGGTAGCTTCCAAGTGACTGTGTGTGTTAGGTAGTGCCATGCACCTACTTAGGGTGAACGCAGGTGACACTACCAGCCCTGGCGAGAGTGCACGTGGAGTAAATTATTTTCATGACGCTGTGACGCATCCCTGTGTCATACCAGGGCTGTAATCACTTATCAAGGCAATTCGTCCTTCCCTGGGCATTTATCTCCTCATTCTGACTTTCCAGCAGTGGGCTGCTTTATTTAACACCCATCCTGCTCGCTCTGGCTTGGGGCGGGCAGGCACCAGCTCTCAGGCAGTGCTGTGGTCTTAAATCTAATTTCGATATCAGATGAGGAGTGGATTTAAGACTTCATAACACTCACCTGGTTTGGGAATCATTGGACCAGAAGAGATTGCCTGCCTTTATTTAGTTTACCATTGTAAATGCCTATGGTCATTTTTTTTTAACCATGACTGCCTTTGACATTTAACATTTATTTTGGCAATCATTAACGTTTTACCATGTTTCGCTGTGTAGATAATGCCATGATCAACTACGCTCACTATAGTAAATCAAAGAGTATTGTTTAGGCTGGAAAGGAAATGCACAGTGAAAAAAAATATTTCTAATGTAGACATAAAGCCTTGCAGAAGTGTAGAATTGATCATGGTAAACCTACTGTACGTGAGGGGTGACAGAGAGACCACTTGGAGGGAGAGTTTAAGCGCAGACTTCCAGAAGTAATTTCTTTCTACAGGTGGATGGAAGCTTTTGGGCAGCTAGAGATTTGACAGCAATTAGAGTGACTGCTGAGGGTTTTAACCGAGCAATGATAAAGGGCAATGGCAGCTTTTTAAAATCCTACCAAAACAATGTTTAAATGATTGTATTGGCTTTGGCAGAGGTATGTTTTAAATATTTAAAAATGCAGGGGACAAGCACTAACTACACACTTTACTGGTAACAAACAATTATTGCCGATAATGCGGTCATCAAGGAGGGAAACTAGTCAGTGCTTGTTCCCCAGGCAGATAAGAAAAATCGTGGTTTCTGAGCATTGCAAGAGGGGTCAATATAAAATGTCCCACCAGGCACGGGCAGCCCAATTGAGGGAATGTGTGGGTGTTCCGTCAGCCTGCCCTCTCTGTTAATACCAGCGCAATCTAATCGCTTCCTCCATTTATCCTAATTAGACGATGCAGCCGCAGACGAAGCATTCAAATCAAACCGAAGCCTTCGACGCAAGCACCCAGCGGCTGGCCCTGCAAACCTGATTTTTCTTTCCTTCTCTCCCCAGAACTCAGATCAATTTTACCGTGGCCATTGACTTCACCGCCTCCAATGGTAAGTGTGGTTTAATGTGCTGTAAGGCCAGGGATGACAACACTGCGACCCTGTCACTCGACTCGCACTAGGGTGCCCCCGGGCGATCTGCAGCTTAGATTACACACTCGACCGGCTCTCCCCTTGACAAAGAAAATCATCTTCACAGCATCAGCATTCCTGGACATGGAAGCAGATTGTTTACCTGGATCAGCAGGTTTTATAGGTCACAGCTGACTAGTCAGATGAGTAATTTGATCAACAAGGTATAAATACACAAATGCTAATGAATGGGCCTTTTCAGTATCAGTGCAAACACAAACCAGAGCTTTTGTAAAATTTTTATGTTATAAAATCTCACTTTTGTCCTCTAAAGTTGTACTTTTTTGCAGCTTTCAACCCATAGTTGCTCATTTTTTCTAGGCACGCGTGTGGCTCTGTTATTGGTATAAAGTAAACAAAATACTTCCTCAAGCTGCTACAAGTAACTGGCTGAGCATCGTAGGATTAGTCGGCCAGGGTTAACTTGGTTCTTGGAAAAACTTAAATTCCCGGGCCTTCCTGGGCACCTGCAGGCTTACTGTGACATCAGTGAGAGAAAGGCTGTTCCAATTGACACTAACTCAGCTGCAAGGCACTGTGGAGCTCAGAGCTTACCAAAACAACTGGATGGGTGGTCCCTGAACTCCTGTGCTCCATGTATCCTAAACATATGATAGGTGAAAACTGTTCAATATCCAAGCTATCCAAGTATTTCCTAAAATTAAAGAAAATATTGACTATATAAATCCTGATACAGTATGTAAAAGTTATATCAAACATACTGTATATAAAACAGGAGTGCTCCAGGCCGAAACATAAGGAAACACTCGGCATTTCCTAATTGGGTGGGTAAGAAAGAAAACGTCACTGCAATACAGGGAATCTCTCATACTGCCCCTGTGCTCTGCTGCTCCCCTCAGGTAACCCTTCTCAGTCCACCTCGCTGCACTACATGAATCCCTACCAGATGAACGCCTACGCTATGGCCCTGAAAGCAGTGGGGGAGATCATCCAGGACTACGACAGCGACAAGATGTTCCCCGCGCTGGGCTTCGGTGCCAAACTTCCTCCTGACGGACGGGTGTCTCACGAGTTCCCCCTGGTGATTAGACATTGCCCCTCTTCGCCCCTCTGGTCCTGCTTCCTTGGGTCCCTTCTGACACTTCTGATAGTCCTAGAGCATTTTACAGTGTGGTGGAGAATCATGGCACATCGTGAAATCATGGCCATGCATGGAGAGTTATCATGATAACAGCGCAGACCACTGGCCACCCATGGCAAAGCAAAGTAAATGTGTGGCACAATCATTGCAAAGTCATGGGAAAAACTGAAACTGCCATGTACGGTTACCACAATAAAGTTTCCTAAGGGACAACCTTCCCAGTTTAATTCCTTTTCTTCTGTCTTCCTTTCCACACAGATTGCACAATAACATGCTTTAGACTCTTGAATTGTTTGGAAAGAACCAATCAGCAAATAAACTAAACTTTTCCCTTACTTTTTCCTGTGCACTGTGCTTAAAGATCACTTCAATGTGTTTTTGTGCTTGGAAGAGAGTGTCGATTTATTTAGGAGGAATAAACTGGTAAACGTACGATAGATGATACTTTTGCATTGCATTTTTGACTGTGCCTGGCTCATACTGTATATTCTTAGTTTGTTTGCTGAACTAGACTTCAAAGCCATGCTGACAGGCTCATAGTCAAATCTCTTCATGCCAGCTGGAAAAGAGTCTGAATTCTTTCAATTAAACTAACGAGCAGATGAAGCATTGTACCAGCGTTCTTCGTTGGCATTTTCACCTGCTTTAAACAGCTGCAGTCTGCAAGTTGAAACGCCTGCTGTTATTTATTTAATGTTTGTGCAATGTTCACCTCAAGGTGTGTTTGAAAACTAGTTGATGCTAAAGCACTCAGCACTTAGTCTGGCAATGTTCTTTTGTGTCTGCAGTGCTGAAAAACTATGGATTGTGTGCAAACACAGCTATTAAAGTTTCCTGAGAATGATTTCCATATTAAATGCTGTTCTGCATAAGTGTTCCATAAATGTGGCAAGCTTACAGACATTTTCCAAATTGTGAAAATTCCCCTAGGGTAGGATAATAACTTTACAAAGTAATATAGAATCAATTAATTGTATAAGTCTGCATTCTTATTATTATAATCATTCTTCTTATTATGTAGAAAACAGTAGTAAAATATACTAAAGGTCAAATATTGATCTTAATTCCTAACAGATTTCTTTTTTCCAGAATGGCAACATTGAAAACCCATATTGTAATGGAATAGAAGGGATATTAGAAGCTTATCACCAGAGTCTGAAAACTGTTCAGCTCTATGGACCGACCAACTTTGCACCTGTTGTCAATCACGTGGCAAGGTAGGAGTGCCAGAGCTGAAATTTGCTTTGGAATTGCGAAGATGTACAGTAATCATCTGCCAGGAAATAGGCAGATGGTGAAAAATCAGAAAAGGCGCTTGGTGATTTGTAAATTGCTCATAATTGCACAGAAAATGTTTGTTTTTAGTTAAATGATGCATTGTCTTCCCAGCTCTCCAACAGAACTCTGCAGAACAAAATGCAGTCTTGGAGTGCTGTTCAGAATTTTATTTAATGGTTTCCTTCTGTGAGTAATAAGCAGTCATCAGTTTAGTGAATACAAATGTAGGGTTTGACATGAAGGTGTCTTCATTGTATATTAGAAGAACATGGGGTTTGTTGATGAGGCTGTGCTTGAATCTGTGTGAATTAATGACCTGACAGCATTGTGCAAATTGAGTAAACAAGAAACTTGATCAAGCTCAGACAGGCCCGAGTAAAAGCAGTCATTTTTTACCATGTCCTGGTATAGATCCTTATAGAAGAGTGTGATAAATTGTATTGAATTGGCTTATGACGGGTATCTCATTTGTAATTAAAAAGGTAATCTCAATAGATCAAGATGAGACTTGTTAAACTGGGACATGGTGTGATTGCAGGATTTATAGGCTCTGTTTCTTTCAAGACAGGGGGAGGAACTTGTGGAGCTTCACCTCTGGATTCTCTCTGATACATTCTTATTGAAATATAGCACCCATTGAAATTATTAGTCATCACTGGAGTGACACATTTTCTTCTGCAAAATAACTTAAAAAGATTAAACGTCAATTTAATAAGGGTACATTGATTATGTCATGTGTTCTGTTCATGTGTGAAACACAAGTTTACATACAATGCACAGTTTCCGAGCATTTTGTTTTTAAAAGGTGCATGATTTTATCAGAAAATATCTAGACACTTCAAGGTAAAAGAGTTGCTAAAATAATAGTTTAGTGGTAGGAGCAGTTATAGATATCCCATCCCATATCACTGCACCACCTGTGTGTGTCCTCTGCTACTTGTAACCTTGTGTGCTTTTAAAAACAATTTGGACTCTCATTAAATTTCAAAAATGCACTTACAGCATTATATATCCAATTCCTCTTGTTCAAGCCAAGAAAATACATAAAAACATCTAAAAATGAAATGGAGTGTGAGGTGGAGGGCGAGAGCTGAGTATAAATTGTCTGTTTCCGTACATCTGTTCTTGTGTACGAGGTCCTGTATTGAGGTTTGAAGCAGGGATTGTGAGTAACAATTAATAATGGCTGCGGTGTCAAATTAATATCAGCCCAATGCTTGTGTTGTTGCCAGATATGCAGCTGCAGTGCAGGATGGATCGCAGTACTTTGTGCTCCTAATTATCACGGATGGCGTCATATCAGATATGGCTCAAACAAAGGAAGCCATTGTTAACGTGAGTACTGCGAGTGGGCGTGGGGAATCGGGCACTGACTGCTGATCTCTGTCCTCTTCCTTCTCCCCTCTTCTTATCTGCTACCTTTGTGGGCTCCTTCCTCTTCCTTCTCCACTCTGTGAATGAGCTTCTTTTAACTCGATGCTTGTGACCAAAGTATTTCATGCTAACACTGTGCTGTCAAGGTTAAGAAACTTATCAGTACTGCAAAACTGCTCGAACTGCCAATATCAAGCAAAGGGTAATTTCTCAGTTTCACAAATTTCCCGATTCTAAAGTACTGCAAATTATATATGGATTTTTTAAAATTAATTACACATCCGCTGTTTTCTCTTTCTAGCTCTCTGTATATGTACTTTCTTATGTTTATCTCATTTTTTCTATGTAAATCAAATACACCTGAACGTTTGGAATGTCTTTGATTATTCCCTCTGCTTTTGAAAATCAGAAATGTAATGCTGTATCTGTTCCAGAGACAGGGTGTTGTGAGTGTTTGCAGACTGGCAGTACTGTGCATGTGGTTGACTGTGAGTCTCTAACACGACAGTGTGGCCACTCCCCACAAACAGTGACCAATGCCTTTGAAAGCAGATGTCACAGGAGCTGTCTTCAAAAGTGGCAAAAGGAGTTCGTCTGCAGCTGGCAGGGCCGTGACATCCCAGCAGACTGGATTTAAAGGGAATTTGCGACTGTTGGTAAAACCATTAGGACAGCCACACCTTCCTTTTAAGATCTTGTCTGCTGCTCTATCGTGCCCTGTTCTGATTCTGCCTGAGAAACCAGCGGGGACCGAGTCTCTCTGCTCTCCCTCTGTGTTTGTAACTGTCTTCTAGCTGGATCTCAATACTGGGTAAAAATGTGATATCATTTATTAATTTCTGCATATTTTTTCATTTCTTTTGCTGTAAATATATAAATATGTAAAGATCCTTTCAATGCTGTTTTGTTAGGTGAGTTAAATAGATTTCCTGCTTGTGCAAACCCAAAATACATACAGTACATGAATAAATTAGCAAGGGGATTTCTGGTTTTATTGCTCTGCTCCTGTGTTTCCGTGTTTTTTTTTTCAGTGTTAGAGAAAGCTACAGGGTGCCTAGGGTTTTCAAATGTATGGAAATAGAACCAAAACAACTCGTTGAATTTCTTTTCCACACATGCTCTCTTCAGCAATGTGGCTTTAAATTAAAATAACAGCATCACAAATTTCATACATTTCTAACCTGAGCACTTTACATTCATGGCCACATAACATGTTCTGGTGTAGAAACATTGTGAACGTTCCTCTGAATTATGATGCAACATCTGGTTCTTTCTTGTTAACCAGAGGTGATTTAGTGATTTGGAAAAACTTTGTAAATAGAGTCTAGAGTGGGTTTATAGAGAGAGAGAATTGTACCTGTGTCTTTTACTCCCCACAGGAACAAAGCAACCCTTTTGAAAGCTGACTGCAGTAAACTTGGTATTTTTGTACAGTTTGCATCTTGTCTTGCTCATATTGTACCATGCACCACCCCTTAACACAATCTTCTACATTTTGCAATAAGCACAGAAGAAATAAATTAATTATCTGGGATCTGTCCAAAGAAGAGTGACCAGGAACATTACCTTCATTGGAAAAATATCCCACACTGAGAGGTTAAAATAACTGAATCTCTTTACCTTTTAATACCTTTGAACAGAAAATAATATGGGGGACTTTGTTCAGGTATTCAAAACTTTCAAGAGCAACCAATTTAACTCCTTCTGGGTGAACAGGCAGATATTATCCAAACAGCAAAAATGGAAACTACAGGAGACAACCAGGGGACTCTTCTTTATGCAGAGTTGTGGAAGTCTGAAACAAGTTGCCCATCAATATTGTTGAATGATAACTTCTCCTTCGAAAATGGTTGGATTAGAACCCTCCAAGCATTAGCTACTAGCAATCAAAGGAGACAGATGGACTGAATGACCTCTTCTTCCTTGTTTTTGTGTAGAAAATTGTGAGTTTGTGCTATACCAGAGTCAGTGCTTTTTGTGTTAATTTACTCTTCAATCTCCTTTACCAAGATCCACAGTAAACATACAGTATCAAAAGGACCATCTGCGTGACAGGTCATCATGTACCTTATCCTTGCTTAAATGGTCTCTTACTGTATTTATTCCCTTAAACATTTCCCATTATCTACTCAAAAAGGAGAGAAAGATTGGTTCTTTGAACAGGTTTATTTGTCATATCCCTGCAGAACTTGTTTATCAGGAGTCCAGAACAGGTGCACAATCATCCAATGTGTTTTCCAGGCATTATGGTCTGTTTTCTTTTTTCCTTGGGGAACTTCGTCAGGAACACTGACCTACTTTACGCTTCAGAATGCCTGTTTATGAAAGCCATTTCCAAAGCCAAAGTATCTACCATTTATTAATTTTGCATGCAAACTCTCCGACAGCTGTGGATAAATCAACTGCTTGTGCCAGGTTCTCTAAGCTTTGGTTTTTTATTACTCTGTCATGGTGAAATTCCCTCACTGCGCTATGGCTATTTTCCCATTAGATCGGAGGGAGAGGTTTTTGTGTGCTGTGGAATCTAAAATGTCTTCCCTCCTGCTTTCGAATCCTGCAGTTTCACCTCACATGTCATGCATCCTGTATCTATTAAATTCAGTCACGAATTCTAAAGCTTGGTCTACAGTTTATTTCAATCACCACTTTAAGAATTCTAGATACGTGGAAAACTGGGGACATGTAGGAACCTTTGGTTTAATTTTAAACCTAAATTCATTACTCTTGTTTTGCCCTTGCAGCAGAGGTACTGCAAGAGTGATGAACGTTCAGTGCATGGTATTAAAGATGCAGAGTTTAAAGCTATGGCTTTCTCATTAGAATTTCATTACTCTGAAGGATGTTTGGTTATGTGGTGAAATGAGAGGAAAGCCAGCATCCAGAAAAGTAACACTGAAAAATAATATGAGTAGCATAGTGCGCCTGTACACTTTGACAAGGGGTGGTGTAGCATAGTGGGGAAACCTTGTACTCATGGCTGTCAGGTTGCAGGTTCGAGTACCTGCCACAGTCACTACAGGTGTATCTTGAGTGAGGTACTGTATCTCCAGTGCTCCTGTCCACCCAGCTGTATAAACTGATTGGATTAGAACCCCCCAAGCATTAGCCTGTATAAATGGAGACCAGCATTGGTGGTGGTGGATTGTGGTGGACTGGCTTGGAGTCCTGTGCTTTCTAGTCTACAGAAACCAGGATGGGTTCTGGCCTGATGAGCCACCGTGGCTCTGGTATGGACCTGATCACAGCTGCCCCGCTGTCAGGATGTGTCACAACAGGTAGATCTCAAGTAACTGAGCTGGAGTTGGCCTGATGGCCCCATGGTGACTTTAGTGTAACTCTTAATTTGAAAAGTTCACAGGCCAGACTTGCAGTCTTTTAAGAACCTAAGAATTGTTAATATCCAGAGGATATCATTCTGTCCTGCGTGTTTATGTTGGCTATTGAGGACAAAACTTCACCCAGCCCCTGGAATGTCAGCTTCACCCCCCACAGCTGGGCAGGAGACCCCTCCCTAGAAGCTTTGAAGGCAATGCTTCCTCTTTTCAACCCCAGTCCAGCAGTCAGGTGGCGCCGATGTCTGTTGACGTTTTTTGAGCCGGGAATAATCCCTCGGTTCAGCTTCATGGGTACCTTTGAGGTCTTAAAAAATGTTTCCCATATGGCTTTGCTTAATTATAATGCAAAGAAGATAACACAGTGGGACCTGAAAACCCATTGTCAGGTGGAGCCTTGTGATTGTGGATCAGCCCTGCAAGCTTGTTTGAAGTTGTTACACAGCACAAACTGGACTGTGCTTTTTGTATGCACAGCAACACAAAGTGGAGTAGATGATGCAAACCATAGTTGCAGTATCCTGCACATCTTTAATTCTTCAGTTCTGCTCCCTTTCCTTTTTCCAGCTCAGCTCACATCACAGCAGCTTCAGAAAGACATTTTATCTTTTTCTACCTTTTTTATTTGAACCCATTACTCTCGCTTCAGTTTTTTTTTCCGTTAGAGGAAATGGCTCGTTTTTTACATCTGCCACCTTTGTCATTGGTATTCTGTGTGGTCTCCCCCCTGCATGAATCCCTCCTACTCATTTAATTGAAACAGGGTAACCAGGACAGGAGACAGAGCAAACAATGCTGACAGTGACAGGTTTATGACTTTCCTAAGACCCCTGGAAGGAATATTTAATTTGATATTTAGTGTTAACTTTACATGTAAGCAAGAGATCATCTCCTGCAAGGTGTATACAGTGGGTGTCTTTGACATTTGGTCAGGAATGCCAAGGGGCTGCACTGCTCCTAATCAGAGTCTGATGTCTGATGGTTCTAGCATGATTGTAGCCGAAACGCCCTGTGGGGAAGCATCTACACTGCATCACCCCATTTACCTTGAAGAAATGTCTGACACCTTGAAATGTGACACTGCAGTACAAGCACTAACATGCCCGCAGAATTCAAAACTCCTCTGATTACATTGACTTTGTTTAAAGTCCCTAGACTGACCAATGATAAGAATGTTATATTAATTTTAGGATGCACCCCCCACACACACATGCCTGTATAGAATTTTCAGCCTCAGAAAAACTAATTTCAACTTCTCAAATGAGCTGTTCACATGGTAATTCTATTTGATTGTGTTTCTGTCCATGAGTAACTACAGTCTGAGGAACTAACCCAGATACTTCACAATTGAGAGTTAAGTCCACCTAGAGGATTGCTGCCTGCTGTATCCAGCTGGGCCTTCAGACAAACACTCCATTGCATTGTGGAATGGCATAATTCTGCTAATGTGCTCCAACACAGCGCTGGCAGTTTGCATCTTTCTCCCTAGCGACTGTTTATAACATACGTGAAAGGTTAATTAGACGGAGAGGGAGAAAGAAAAGTGTGTGAGAGATCTCTAACTGCAGGGATTTAATTATGTACTTTAAGGTTCTCTTCTGTGAAGGGCAGCTCAGCATTGTATTTTAATGGGGAAATTATCTATTTGTCAGCCCTTCATTCCCTTATTAAAGTGCCAACAACTAGATCCCTGAGACCATACAGTATTACAATTACCAATGCAACAAGTGAATCTGAAAGCTGTTTTCATAACTGGAAGCTCTAATAAAGACAGAGTGTTAAGCTTCCTGAGTGACTGAGGCAAATGTTGAAATTCTTAGTGAAAGGATTTTATTTAGTGTTTTTGGTTCTGAAGTCCTACAACTCTAGACAACCTTATGATCTTGTAAGACACGCTAGTTACCTTTTTAACTTAAGTCATGTTGTTAAAATTGCATCTAATCTAAAATAAAATGAGCAATATCTTTGGGATTCAAATACAATTCAGCATTATAAAAGCATAGTAAACCTTTTATTTAAACATTAAAGATGGAACAAATTATCTTCTGTAAATACCTCAAGGTTAGGGAATAGGGGTATGGTTCAGGCTTAGAATTTGGGAATTTTTACTAACATACAATTGATTTATAGCAGAGGCTGGTTATTAACACGTTCGTAGTTTGTCATTAATTTTTGTGCAAACAATGACCATGGCAGACAATTAAAAATAAAAGCCATTTTGCAATTTTATATTATTTGAATCCTTACTTTCTCTTTTTGCAGTCACGGCACTGTTGTTTTCTGTACATTAATTCAGTCCTAATATTCTGACTGCCTGTTTACAGGAGTTGATCAGTGCCAGTGTTTGTTGGCCAAAAACAAAACAATCTAATGAATTAATCATGTTCAATTTAAGAGTTAATTTTTTTCTGTTCAGAGGTAATTAAAAACTAGCAGAAACACAGAGCACTCTAGGGCAACTGATGGCAAGAGCATGTTTTTTAGTATTTGTCTAAACAGGAAATGGCCTTGAGCTCTACCTCTTATTTCTAGAGGCAGCCTTCAGCTGGGTGCTCGCTACACTGTGTAAAATCTCACTGAAGAATGTGAACTTCCAGGTAAACCTAACGGTAGGCAGACAGTGTTTAAGTGATGTTCAAATGGTTTTAGTGTTGTTCCTTTAAAAACCTTTTTTAATGCTCCATTCAAAACACAGTCCTGGTCTCTTCTGTGACAAAAGGGGGACCTTAGTGTTGTTTTTTTGTGATGTTAAGTATTTTGGGGGAAAGTATTCAAAGCCAAAATCCTGCAACCGGTTCGCCAGTGACCTCTGCTGGAGTCACTCGAGTGTTTTCAAGTGGAAACTGAGTCAGAAGATGCTGGTTTTGGCATCACCCCTCCTTCTAGTGACATTACCTTCTAATTCTGCAACCCACTCGCTTAACTGGCTTGAATCATTTTTCATGATAAATGCAAGTGCAAAACAAAACTTTAAAGTCACTGCAGGTGATTTATGACCCCGTTCGTGTTAATTGCATCACTGCTGAATGATAACATGACTGGCGTATTGATTGTGGTGTGGTTCTGTAGTGTGGGGTCTCCTTGGTTCGTGTGGCAGGGCTCATTGATAACAGAAATGCGCTTCTCTGATAATGGAGAGACAGAGCTGCCAGTCACACTGGAAGGAAACAATAGCGTGAGTCTATCTCACTGATGAGCACTGCCTGAATCATTTTGAAAATGCTGTCTGTGGTGCAATAATAACAATACAAATAAAAACAATAAGCCATTATGAGCTTCATTATGAACCACAAATCATGTGTCAGCACAGATGGGAACAGAATGCAAATTTCCTTTCACCCCGATGTTAACAAACGTCCTCTTGCACAGTCGACTGTCTTGAAACCTGATACACAGAGGGACATCATGACAAATCGAAACATTTGTAGTATACAAGATGGGTAGATGCAGATGTATGTTATGTAGGTCAAAGGCAAATAAATTAAATCCTAGATACATGTATAAAAGTGGCAGCCCTAAAGCCCTAATTCTTCAATTAGTTTCACTAGAACAAGTTAACTAAAGCATAGCAGGATGAATCGATGTTCAGTAAATTAATAAAAGGTATCGGTGGCCAGTAAGCACAGTTACTTAGACTGTTATAGTAATTAATAAATTAGGAAATAATCGTGTTATACATACAAATCTTAGGACTTAGGACAAACCTAAAACGTCAGAATGGGTAAAAACAAAAGGTCATTCAGCTCAACTAGCTTGTTTGGTAATTAGTAGATAATGATCCGGGGATTTTACCCAGCTGTTTCTTGAAGAAAACAAAGGTATTTGGCTTCAACGCCATGGATGGGCAGCTTGTTCCTTATTTCCACAGCTCCAATTTCTCCTCCCACTCACGTCGGGTCCACGCAGGTGTGCTGCCAGCTGAAAGGGAGCAACATGTTGTCTTGTCCGTAGCGATCACGCTCACAGGCCGCCCGCGCTGGCCTTCAGGCAGGCCGCCCCAGCTCCCTGTGGAGCCCACGCTGCTGACGAAGCCTCTGGCTACAGGCGCCGGGCTCCGCGGCTTTCCTGCAGCAACGCGACTCCCACCTCCTCGGCGGGGCCTGGGAGATTTCGGATCGACCTTTTGTCCCAGCACCTCGCTGCTGTTGTGGAGCGCGCATTTCCACTCCTGCTCAGAATGACAGCTCTGCTGGTCAGGACAGAGATCACCCGGTTTGGAGAATCTCCAATCTGCTCCCTGACGGCTCGAGCCGTGATAAGATGCTGTGGAAACAGCAATAACAGGAACGAGAAAACAAAACGCTAGCATCTCACCTCGGGGCCTAATCTGCTGGAGCTGGTAGCCAATGGGTGACTATCCTGCTGGCCTCCTAGTTCCTGTGTATTCAAAACTTCACAGTCTGTTCCATCCACACAGATAATGAAGAAGCCTGTAACAAGCTTATGTTACAGCGCTGGGAAGTCTTTCTTCTGTGGTTTCTTGAGGACCCAGTGTTCTGGTGATGGAAAAAGAGCATCTGTTAAAGAGGGAATGCACACCTAAAATTCATGTTTTGTATTATACCATTCACACTGTAAGGTGTCATGACTTTTGACTCCACTATCTATACTATACTGTACATCCAAGCCTATTAAGTTACTCCAAGTTTTATTTTTATTTGTTTTAATTGCCTTTTAGTAAGAAAAGACCTTGTTAAATATGCCCTTTTTTCTTTGGCACTCTACTTCTTAACAAACTATTTTCTGAAGGATTGTTTTCTACGTCCAATGCTTTTTTTTTGCCTTTCTTTCTGCAATGTCTTTATGCCAGTGCAGTATCGGAGAGCTTTGGTATTTAAGAATGAGTTCTTCCTCCAGATTGGTGTTGGAGTAAATGGTAATGCACTGAAAAGCTCCGGTGCAGGACCCTGTGGTGCTCATGGTGGGCTGTGAATAAGCAGGTCTCTCTTTGTGTGTAGCAGTTTCAGCATGGGTGAGGGTAGAACTGTAAAAATGTAATCTAAAACACAAAACGCTTAATTAGACATTGAAGTTTAATTTAAAGGAAATAATATTTTGATCTGGTTTCATAAAGAGCACACCATAATCTTACTGTTGTTTTTCAATGTTAAGAATACCTGAGCTACAGTATGTGATAATTGTGACATACAGTATACTTCAAGTTGTGAGCTAGTTTTATCTTAATATTATACAGTATGCTACTGTACGTGCTATGTTAAAGAAAATACCTAGAACTACAACATTAGCTTGCAGGGCAGAGGAAAACCATGTGGAGTGTTCACTAAATATGTTCATATGTTTCCTTTAGGCTGCTAAACTTCCAATGTCTATCATTATTGTTGGAGTGGGACAGGCTGAGTTTGATGGTAAGGAAAAATGAACTGTTTTGATTTCTGCTTTGACCACTCTCCCTCTGTCTGCTGTCTGATTTAGTCAGCACTTCATATTTGAGTCTACTGATAGCCCTCCTCATCGCTTCCAATGATAAGGTGTTGTACAGTATTGAGACAATGGCCTGTGCTTTCTGTCTCTGTGCTGGCAGACCACTTGGCCTCTGGATTCACTGGGAAGCTTGGAGACAGCAGGATATGATAGATCCCCATATCCTGAAAGATATTAAGGAGTGACATAGCCATTACACCTTTAATAGATTCATGTTGTTGCTTAATTACTGTTCAGAGCAGAAAGGTAATTCTAACCAGCTGTCTATTGTTCCTGATGCCAGTCAGCCTGAATGGACAGCTGATCTGTGTTATAACTACTTTTCATGGTAGTTAAGCGATGTGGTAATGAAACCATATAAAAAGTAAAGTCACAAGTAATAGGTTTATTCCATGCTGAAAAAAGAAGAAAGAAAACACAACGTTTCGGCCGTGGAGCCTTCTTCAGGTGTGAGAGAGACAGGGCAGTAGGCAAAGGTAAAGTAGCGGGAGAACAAAGGTTGGGAGGGAGGAGGAGTGAGAGGCGGGAGCAGGGGACAGAAAGAGAGGCCAATCAAGAGGTGTGAAGTCAGAATGGGTGCAGAGAGGTGTGAAATGAAACTTCTAATGAATGGAGAAAATTTAAAAGAACAGTAATCTGTCGTTAAGGGAAGGGAGAATGTGTGATCCTAACTGCAGAATAATTTTAGTTTCGGTGGTCACCACCAGCAGTGGTGCTAAAGAAATCCCAATTAAGACAAGGAAAGTCTGTTAGAAATGGGATTATTTGTTTCAGGAGCTACTTCCTCCTTCAGAGGTTTCAGTGAACCAGGGTCCACCTTAGCAGGCACAGGTGCAAGGCAATTTCACAACCTGGCAGGACACTAACCTGTCCCAGGGCATTGCACTAATCAGCAGAAGTAAATAAATATAGTTTGGGTGACTTTCTGTAAATGCCCCTTGTACTGTTGTGCTCCGCATACTGATTAAATGACATTTTGGAGGTCAATTCAGCAAAGTCATAACACTTGATTGGCTTTTTTTCCCCCATGTGCTGGCAACTTAAAAATACCGGCCTGTCTCAGTATTACGTTAAACACTGGACCAAAATCAAAAGAAAAAAATCTGGCTCTGTCAACCAAAACGAAATACTGCCACACTAAGTTCACATGTGTTTTTTTCCCCCAGTAATATAGCAACACAATGAAACTTTGAGTGTCAGAGGCCTTCTTTTTTAAGAATTCCTTTCTTCCTCTGTAATGATGGGGGATATTTCTTTATCCTTTCCTTTACAAACCGCTGCCTAAAAACTTCAAATGCCAGAACATTTTATCTGATCTTGTCCTGTAGTATTACACAGTCTTTAGGATTTTGTCTGCATGGATTTCACATTCATGTCATCGTCAATTAAAGATGAAAGTGGTCAGATTCAGGCTTTTAAATAGAAGCTGTTGCTGGTGCACGCTGCAGGTCAGGATTGGCTTGTACCTACAGTAACAGCAGCTCAGGCAGGAGACGGAGAAAGCTCTGGGATTGTGCCAGTACTTGTCACAGCATCTCTGCTGTCTTCCCTGTTTTTTCCAGCCATGGTGGAGCTGGATGGGGATGACATCCGAATATCTTCCCGAGGGAAACTGGCTGAGCGTGATATCGTTCAGGTGAGCCCTCCATTGCCTCTCCCAAGCTCCAATCATCTAATAGCCGCCTGCCAGCCAGGAAAGCTTTTAAACATGTATATATCCATCTTCTACCCACTTCTTCCAACTCATCCTGGAAAAGCAAGGCAGGGTACACGCTGGACAGGACACTAGTCCGTCACAGGACACACGTTCACACCAGTTTTCCCAGAAGCCAAATAACGATATCTTCTTTGGACTGTGGGAGGCAAACAGACTATTTGGAAGAAACCCATACTAACATGGGGTGAACATACAAACTCCACACAGATAGTACCCCAGGATTTGAACCCAGAGCCCCAGCACTGCAAGGCAGCAATGCTAACCACTGTGCTACTGTGCCACCCAGACTGTTAAATATTTTATATACATGTATTTATTTTATGTGCTTATAAAATATCTCTCTAAAACAGGGTTGGTCTAAACACACAGAGGGAAATGATAATAATACATTCACCCATTTGCTAATTTTACAGCTTTTCTCTCTTAGCCTTGAAATATGTTGCAAGACTGCTCCAGGACCCCAATATCAGAATATCTTCTATTGTTTCATTTGTAACCTTAGCAGTACTTTTTTGGCACATTTTTATAAAACATGGCTCAGAAAGCTCATTATGTATTTATCAGTTGGGCATATCCTATGGAATACCAGGTGTAATGCAAGGAATCATAACAACGTTATCCATTAATAATTGATTACATTGTATGAATTGTCATTAAGAATTCAGTTCTCTTGGCAAAATTTGGTATTTTTATAGATCAGTAGTGGTTTACATCTGCTCTTTATTTTTTCATTATAATTCTATATATTTCAAAAGTGTACTAACATCATTTAATAATAATGAGTTTAATAAAGTTAAATTGCTTATTCAAGCACATCATCCATGGGATACAGAGGCAACTACTGAATGGTCACTAAATGGATATATCATGGCAAGCAGTGTTATGAAACACCTTTTTATGGCTGTAAACACTTATTAATTTCATCCATCATGTGTAACCTGAGCCTATTTGCTATTTAGGATTATCTAACAAGAGATGGGGAAAAATGGCATTTTGACAATTAATATATTGCATCAAGTTCTTTTCGTATTAGAGGTGGTGGTTTATGTTTCCCTGGTGATCTTGATTAAATCAGTTGTGTGGATTTTGAGGATTTGAAACATTTGAATTAATGTCTCTCTCGTAGATCTTTCTGTTCAGGATTAAAAAGATGAATCTCTTCCAGCCTGTCCATGTAAGACATTCCTTTAAACCTCTGTTGGAAAACAAAAATACTTAGATATCATGTAAAAACAATAAAGGGGTTTAGCGGTGGAGGAAAAGACAATCAAGGTCACTTTCCTCCTGCATAGTGTGTAGCAAAAATTCCATGCGAATTTCCAGTCAATATAATGAATGTTCCCCGACCTAACAGCAGCAACCTTGTCTCAATCCTGCTGCTCGGTCTCTTGGCAATCAGGGTACTTAATCACTGCTCTTCGAGATGAGAGACGTACTGTATCTGAATGTGCTTGGCTCATGCCTACCGGCATCCCTCTGCTTCCAGCATGTAAATATTCTAGTTTGCCAACACAGGCAGGAACACAAACGAACGAATTACCCCACCAGTTTTAAGACCACAGTCTTGTTCGTCCCAAGTAAGCTCAGCCTCCGCTGTTTCCTGAAAAGGGGTGAAATGCCGTATTAAAAGTGACACTTCTCTAGCTTCACTCTGAAGGCTTTAGTGGGCTGGGCTCGTTTTGCAAATTTGCCCCCCCCCCCTTCCTACTTCAGGGCCGGGCTCACGAAGAGGTGACATGGTGACCCCGGCACGTCTTTTTCTTCGCACTCCCTTAGCGCCCGTCAGCCCTCTGCTCCTTCCCGAAGTGGCGTTTTGACGCTCTTCCCAGGCGCTGTTTTCCCATTATTACAGAGGACAGCAGGGGAGGAGGAGGAGAAGCAGCTTTTTTTGGCCCCTTCATAATGAAACAGAAAGAGCTGCCACACGACCTGTCACTACGACAGAACTGCCACTTCTGTCCAGCTGTGCGGGAAGACAGCACAGTCAGATGCCATCTTCTAAAGGGCATCACTGCACTAATTACATCAGGGTATGAAGTCAGTGTACATCTGCTCTCAGGCCATATGCCTCAACAGTTGATTTTGTCCTGCTTATTTAGGTGATGAGGTCCAAGCTTTTGTGTTAAAATCATGTTGCATCATGCTGATGGACAAGGGTTCCGGTCTTAAATCAGCTCAAGAATGACTTGAGTGTTTCAAAAAGAGTGCAAGCTGTAGCTTCTGATGTGAACGAAAGGTGAAATGCACTGCAAGTCAGATCTATAAAACTTGCACAGCCACAATAAAATGTAACAGCGCAATTGTGTTCTTGTCCTTGAGTCAATGGCATCCGTCACTTTAACGGAGCTGTATCGCCAAAGTGCAAATGTCCACAATCTGTTTTGGAATGTGATTTGCACCTGAATTGAACTGAATGGAAAATTCAATTCTCCTTCGGGTAGGTGCCGTAGTGAGGACTGGTATACTGTCATTACTTACAGTGCTGGATTTCCCATTAGGCACTGTAGGCACAGTGCCTATGGCCTAGGAAGTTTTTAGGGCCTACGAAGGAGGGAAACGCTAGTGACTAACAAAAAACGAGCTGAAACAACATGCTTCCGATCGACTAGGTGCTCCAAAGCAATCATCATACGCTATCTAGAGGCTGTTCTAGAAACTAGAAGTATCGAAGCGATGGTCGCTCGACTCACTCCATCGATCACGTGGTTTAGCATTAGAATAGTTTACAGTGCATCATGTCAATTGACGTAAAAGTGCCTAGGGCCCACGAACACCAAAACCCGGCCCTGATTACTTAACAGTGGTTAATAGGGGTTGTTAATGGGCAGGATTAATTTCTGATTCTTAAACGATTTGCCTCTTCCCCTTGCAGTTTGTTCCGTTTCGAGACTACATGGACCGGACCGGGAATCACGTGCTCAGCATGGCGCGACTGGCGAAAGATGTACTGGCTGAGATCCCAGATCAGTTCATCTCCTACATGAAGTCGCGAGGCATCAAGCCCAACCCAGCCCCGCCTCCCTACACGCCCCCCGGACACACCCTTCACACCCAGATCTGATTGGAGCACCAGCGGAAGGGGAGGGGCTGTAGGGAGGAGTGGGGTGTCATTGAAGTCCAGAGCTCCGGGAGCATCCGGGAAAGTTCCGTACGACTTGCCAGTGGAATTCCCGAGAAAGTAGGAAGCACATTGCTTGCGGTTTTGTTTTTTGGCGATAAGAAACAAAAAGACTTCTTACCTTGGATGAACGGAACATTCTGGAAAAACAACAGGACACAGGGGTTTTCTTTTTTCCTTTTAGAAGCTGTGAAAGGGGTCAGAGAAGGAAATCACAGAGAGATGGGTAATTTTTTTTTCCAGCAGAGAGTATGGAGGCGAGAGTGAGGAGAGCAGGAAGGACAGTGTCAACAGTGTAAAATTCGTGCCTGTCTGAAATTGTGGTTGTCTAACTAACTGTTCTGGACAGTCCGCATTGTTTTTTTGCTTGTCAGAAGTGCTCACCTATAGCAGAGTAGAGTCTGGGCACATGGGTGTGACGTTTGTAAATACCTTTCTGAATGGCGTACTTCGGTTTATGACGTTTCCACAAAATAATTTATAGAGTTTTAACTATTTATACAGGGGGAAAGGTGTAACATCCTTGTAGTTACCTCTTTTAGTTAATGGTTTGTTTTGTAAGGTTATTCATCCACTAGTGACTTTCCTTATAAAATGCATGGTCATGGGGTACAATTACACAACTAGGAAATACTGCATTACAAGAAGATTTACCCATCTCCCCTTCTCATGTAATAAATAACACAAATATTCTCAAATAAAGCCTAGCCTTTGTTTTTAAAGGGAAGTAAAAGCACAGGTCGATAATAATAAATAGCATCAAAGCTTATAAAAAAAATACATTTTACAAAACTGGTTTGTAACAAAACTCTTCCAAGCAGAGAATTTCTCCCCTTTAATTGAAGTACAGTACATTCCTGCAGCAGTTATTCTCTGTGCCTGTGACAGGATTTTTACTCCCTGTGCTCTTTCAGTGTATAGCTACCCTGCTGGAAAAAGATCAAAGGAATCTGTAGGTACACAGGCACCATTTTTCCTCTCACCCGCTGGCCTGTCGCTGCAGATACCTGAGCACAATTTGTTTCACCTTTTCCAATGATTAGAAGTCGCTCTCTCGGAGTCTCTACAGTCACTTTCACCCTTTAAGGCTCCCGGTCTTGTGTAAGGCTGTCACACTGCGCCCTCACTGGAGCAGATATACAATTCCCTTAACCTTCCCATGAATGAGCATTCTGTGTTGAACAAGCAGCACATCGAAAACTATGACAAATGGGACAGGAGGAGGGTCTGAGTATCAAAATTCATCTGCAAAGGAAAGAAAAAACGTTACTCAGGGTTTCATAGGGAGTGAGGGGATCTTTTCAATAAGCTAAATTAGTTCTCGAGATAAGCCATGATCAACTCCAGACCTTTTGTGTCACACTGGAAATTCACTGGACGACTCAGTAAAGCCAGGTGGAGATACAGGAAAGTGTCTTTCTCTTGGTCACCAGTCAGTCTGTCTCTCCCTATCTCCTCTTATTTATCAACCCTGCCGGGCATAGCATTTTATTGTCACTTTCAGAAATCAATTAAACAGCCGCGCTCCTTCGAACATCAGCCGTTTCTCATGCCTGTGAATCAGAGTGTAAAAGAAAACAGCAGATGGATATGTTCCTTCTTGGCACATTTTTTTCTTCTGTTTTGGTAATTAATTGATTTTATTTTCTAATTCAACTCAACACTTATTTTTAATGCATTGAGTTATTAAGGTGTGATTATTACCACAAAATAAATATGGCTAAATGCAGTGAGACAGCCTTCTGGCCGCTGATTAAGGGTTCATAGTCAAGTCTTGCTGCTGTTGTTTCTTGTCTGCTAATTGTGCTTTAACCCAGTAAAGTGAATTAAAGCCTTGTGAAATCACTGGAAAGCTCATACAGGTATGCTGAACCACAGTAAAACCTGGCAAAACCTGAACCTTCACAGAAACCTGATGGAAGTATATTAAAGCTGCAGAAATCCTGTTTTAATTTGTCATGGTAGACTGAAGTCATGAAGGGCACTGCCAAATAGGGGTCACAGAATTTTGCTTGTTACATCACTTATGAAGCATTGAAATGCTGTGTACTGAGTAATGTAGGGTGAGAGAACAGTGTTATAAGGGCAGTGCTGTACAAGTCGTCAGGTTGTGCATACACCAAAAGCAGATCGCCTTTTTTAAATAGCAGTTACCACTATAATATGTTATTTTCATAGAACATGATTCTTTAACACTAATAAACCGTCCTGTATACGTATAATGGTTCACATGCTGTATTGCAAATCCAGCCCCTGCACTACTTTTCTGCCGAGATTCCTTCCAGCTGAGACGCACTGCTGAAGCAGGAATGTGCAGTTGCTCATTATTCTTTCTAGAACACTTACAAACCTGATGCAGCCTTTGAAGAGCAAAGGCCTCCTGTTGAGCTGTGTTTGTCACTGCGAGCTCTCAGGCACTGCCTGAAGTGTCAGTACCCCCTACCACCAATGTGAAAAAAGCTTAACGCTGGCAAAATATCTGATGGAAACAGGCCTGTTGGTGATGGACTGTAAAGACAGAAATTATCCTCACTTTGTTGTGGATTTATCCAGATGACATGGGAGCAAACTGATTCCCATACACAGTCAGAAAACGACTTAAAATTAGTCTCGGATACATCAAAATAACTGGATGGAAACAAGCTCAGGACTTTTTTGTGTTTGTTCTTCATAGTATTAATGCATAGGATTAAAAGTACACTCATAGTGTTCAGTATTATAGATTTTAATCAGAGGTGATGGTCTAAGGGCTGGACTTTGTGACACACTGGTGCTGCATTAGTGAGGAATGGTGGTGTGCTTTACTGCCTGGAGGGCTGACAGGCAGAATGTTTTGCAAGACCCTTCTATAAAAATACCATTTTATTTCAAAAGCCAGACCTACCAATGCAGGGCCTGAGCTGCCTTCTATAGTAGTTGAGTAGGTGACACAATCCCATGCAGAAACAGGAGCAGGCATGAACACCACAGGCCTTGTGCATGACAGGAGATCTGAATGCAGATTCCAACCATGTAATTGGCAGTAGCCATATATCTCCAGATTTGCTTATTAAATGCTTTGGCTGACACTTTACCCAAAGCAACATACAAAGGTTGCAAGTATGTTGTTTATTTACGTATTTGCATACTAATTCATCCAGACAGATTGGCAGAAACAATTTAGGACAGTGCCTTGCTCAAGAGTACAGCATCAATGTCCCCATCAGGGATAGGAACCCATTTGCTGCTGAGCAGGAGGTCAGAGTACTCAGTCTGTTTCCAGGCGACTCATTGGAAATCAGGTATAGGAGAATCACTGGACACTTAAATCTATACAGCATGTTGTATCACACATCTCCTTTCATCAGCATCAACCATAACGATTTTGGAAGTTATCATGTGCAGCAGCTAGAGATGCCAACTCCATGGGTGCTATCATTTCGTCAAACTATTCTTATAGCAGGGATGAATGTATTTTTTACTTTGTTTTTGAGAGATTACCGAGTAATACCTAGCCAAATAACTGTTATATTTTGTCTGAAACCCGGTAGTAAATTTAACTGCTTGTAAGTGCATTATGATTCACTTAGTTAATTGAATTTGCTAGTTTGTAATGACCTGTCATAATTAAATCAGAAGGAACTGATGATTCCCCTGTCTGCACAGGGTTGGCTCTGCCAGCGAGTATACTTAAAATGAAATGTTTCTTTCCCAAATGGATACATTCCCATCTGCACTTTAATGGACTCCTGATAGTATCTTGCAATCGTTTCGTTCTGTACCGGAGCAAAACCTAAGAAAGGTCGGACATTTCATCAAAAGCGGACATCACCATTGAGGTGGCTCACCTTTAATGATGAGTAGGAAAACATTTTTTGCGAAAATTATGTTGCAAAAGGTAGAAAGTTAAAGTTTTTCAATGAAGGTGGAATGTGTGTTTATGGAGAATGGATTTGAGGGATGGTATCATGATAGAAAGATTTCAGAAGTGTGATCTGCCACCAGGAGCCTTCTATTGGAAAATGATGAACTCGCTAAACAAGTATAATTTGGTGCCTGTGACTGCAGTAATATGACACCTACACATGTACAGTCCCCACATCTTAGCAACATGACACACCCCTTCTAGAAATCCCTTTATTCTTTGAAACAGGTGTGATTTACATAGTAAGATCAGATCACTTTATTAGCCATATTAAGTTTCTTGCATTAGGAATTCATCTTTTCACATACCCCAGCTTGCTCTCCATGAGACACACAGACACGGAGACAACCTTGGGGTCAGAGCTCAGGGTCAGCCATTGTCCAGCACCCCTGGAGCAGTTGGGGTTAAGGGCCTTGCTCAGGGGCCCAGTGGAGTAGCATTCCTCTGCCAGCCAAGGGATTTAAACCAGTAACCTTCCAGCCACAGGCACAGATCCTTAGCCAAAGAGCCACCGCTCCGCCCCAACAGATACTTGCAAACCATATCCGAGAGTTAAAAGCGATGCAATGTTAAAATGATGGGATAAGGCACAGTATTTAGTATCTGTAGACCACCGTGCAGAACACAATATCTTGATTTGAATAGTGGGCTTATACCGATTTACGCATTCATCCGTAGTCTTGATTTGATAGAGTATCCAGTTAAAGCATTAGCATTTTAAAATGTAGGATATCTACAGGTCTAGCAGAGGCAGACTAGTACTATATGGTTTTATTTACAGTGGTTACATCAGAGGTCAGCATTCTTTTTTCAGCACAATACAAAAGCACATTTTTTTAAGTGTTGTGCCGGAAGATCAAATGATGTAAGTTTTCTTGACTTAAAATTATGATTTTTTACTTTAAAAGGCAAAATTAGCCATTTAATACTGTATACCCAGTACCATGCAGCTCCAATGAGTGAATCTAGAAGAAATGAACATCATACTGACAGATTGTTTTTTGTTTGTTTGTTTCGTAACAAAAGTTATGGCTTACACTTCTGATATAAAATTATTGATAATGAACCATCCTCACATGCTCTTACTTATGTTGTAGTCCTCTTTGCTTCTTAATGAGGCAAAATCATTTAATGTAATAACATCTTGATATGGTTTCAGATGCTCTTCATTGCTAACATATGATTAGGGACTGAATTACACACACAGCCAAACATATATCTTATGTGATCTAATTAGCAAAAGCTGTCATTTAGGGGGAAAAAGCGTGCTATAATTCAAGATTATACCGTGCACGTATTCTAATCTTCTTATCAATTTCAATGTAATTGTCTACCCTTTGCCCTGTGCATTTGTTAAACATACGCGTGCTCTGACTACCCATCACACAACAGAACAGGTTTCCCTTGGTTTTTAATGAAAAGTACAAAAAGAAACTACACATGCTGTCAAGTGCACACAAAATTGCAATCAAGCAAATCAGATGCAGGATATTATTCCTTCAAATCCCCCTGTCCCAGAATACGTTTTTACAGCTAAACGTTTGCCCTTCTCTACCATAAGCAACTATTGATTCTCCTTAATGAGAGATTGATAAGCATGAATAGACAGCAAAAACTAAAAATCATTAGAAACCCCAAAGCATTTTTATAAGAAGGAACCTGAGGTGGCCACTAGCCACTTGATGATATCATTTTTTGTATTTTCCTAATTTTCAGTGTTTTACAGGTTCTACAACATTGTGACGCACATTTTTACATGTAAAAAATACCTTCCCTTTGATGTCATTGTAGTGATTCAGTCTCAAGAAAGAAAGATCCCGATTTGTTGGTAAAAAACTGAAGATTTTTCTGTTTGCTGTATGTTGGATTAAAAAAACAAGGTGATGCATCCTGAATGCACAGAAGCCTTTTCCAGCATCTCTCCTATTCCCAGCTAAGGCCAGGCTTTCCCAGCCCTTCCAACACCCTGTGACATGTGGTTGTGTGAACTAAAATCTGCTGGTTGTGAGGAGGGTCCTAGTTCTTCAGTGCCAATGTCTGTGACACAGTAATACAGTCCGCTCGGACAATGTGCATGTTAGTGCCAAAACGGCAGCAAGTTCTGTGGACTGTTTTCTCTTTTCTTTTTCTGCCCAGCAGTTACAGTTTTTTTATGATGTAATGGACTTGTTTCTAATGAGATTATTCTAATGGAGTTCTGTAGCCATCCAGCATGTTTGCAGTAATTGTTTTTTTTTTAATGATTACTATTATTATTTTTTTATTTTCGACTCGGTCGTGAACCTCTCTTGGTCTCTGATTTGCATGGTGAATTTTTTCAAACCGAACATTGTTGTACACTCTCGTTGTCATACAGTGAATTGTGATATGCTTTGTATTGGATTGCTTTACAAGAAAAAAACAATAAAAACCGACTACTTTTACAAAAGATACAATGCTAGTTTTATATTGGACTACAAAATCCTTTATATACTATGAGGCTTTAAAAATGTAACAAATTAGAAAACCATCAACATTTGTTGCATTTTTGATGCCTTTCCTTACATTTTACTTATCTATTTAAATTAGTAAAATTTTATATTATTGCTTTCAAACAAACCAGTAGTCATACAGTACTGGTCGAAAATCTACTATACGTTTGCATGTCCAAGTACACGGAAAATTCCACTTAGAAGCATACCGTACGCCTTCTTCTGGGATGACTTACATTCAAAGCAATTACTGAGCTGTAAAAATAGAAGAAAAGGTCAAAAAGTTAAATACTGTTATGTGGTTTATCTAGTATGACAAAAGACAGAGCACAGGTAGAGAATTTATGTGTAGTAGGAGCTCCAGGTGCAGTCTGACCAGGTCTGCGCCTGATGTCTTTAGGAGGTACAATAAGATTCCTCTACTGTGTCCAGGTACATTTTCAGGTTTGTTTTCTTAAATATATCGCATATAATATGACATATAATACAACTGGGTCTGCTGGCAGAAATGGCCAGGTTGAAATGAAGGACAGTAGTACTGTCTCCATCATCGAATCTGAATCCTGCCCCCCAATACAATGGGACTTTTCTGTTTTGTGCAGAATCTTTGTGAAATACACCACTGAGGGCATGGCTCTACTAAGAAACTGCAATAAATGACTAGAACACATTCTTTTAGCAGTGTGGGACTTTATCTTTCATAATTACCATTAAGCAGATGCTTGTCTCCACTCTGCACTGACAAATGTTGTGATACAGACACATGCAGTGGGGCCTTAGTTTTATATTTCACCCAGAGGACAGAGCACAATGAGTTAAGTCACTTTAGAACAGTGAATTATTTGCAGATCTGGGGCTCGAAGGAGGCATGTCTGGCCTATTTAGTCTCCACATCTTAGCGGCAGGTTAATGTAACAAAAGAGAAGGACCCGAACTAGTCATCACAAATAACTCTGCTAGCTGCTGTTCACAAATGTCATGCAAATATGACTGTCAGGTGCATCTACAAACTTTGAACCCAAGTCATTTCAATTTGTGACTGCCAGTGACTGGAGCAGGCGGCCCTTGGCACCTGAGGGCCCTTTCAGCTCTATGATTAAGAGTTTTACTTGCACTTCTTAACATCCATCCGTTTTCTCACTACTTTATCCAATCCAGGGTCACAGTGGAAGTGGAATCTATCCCAGCAAGTAACAGGAGCAAGGTCAGGTTCACCCTGGAAGGGATGCCAGTCCACCACAGGGCACACAATTTTTCCAGAAGCCAATTCACCTACCAGTATATCTCTGGACTGTGGAATGAAACCAGAGCACCCAGAGGAAATCCACATGAGCACAGGGAGAACATACAAGCTCTGTGCAGATTGCAGCCAAAAAAATTAAACCCTGAATCTCAGAACTGTGAGGCAGTAATGCTAACCACTGCGCTACTGTGCCACTGAACATTTGGTAACTTGTTCTTTCACTGTTTTGACTTGTGTTGAACCTATGGGCTGAGCCTCTCGATCAGGTCGTTATTGGAAATGAGAATTTATTCTCAGCTGACTGGCTAAGTATAGGATTATTGCTATTATTGTAAATCTGCAAGTCACGCCACTTTGAGCTTGCCTGGCGTCAGTCCCTGTCCCCAGTGTGTTGTCTTTTGGGCTCAACAGTGTCACACTTTGCATTATCGCACACAGCACCTCCCTGACAAAGCGAGAAGAGGGGATAACAAGAGCTTCCTGAGAAGGGCAGGTGAAGAATAAGTAGTGAGCTCATGGGGGTGCCTGTGTCAGTAGTTACCGCTGCGCTGTAGAGAAGTCTGTCTTGTTAAAGCGTGTGTGTGAGCAGAGCCCTTGTCATGTTTCAATGAACATGCTTGACAGTGAGATAACTTGCCACACAGCTCCAAGCTTAAAAGTGGGCTGACATATATAAGCCTGGATGCTCATCTTGGTCCTTTACTTCATACAGGGTCTGACACAGACACTGAGGAAGAAGGATAACATGGAAATATTAGGGGAACACTGGACACCAAGTCCTTCCAAGTTCGAATGTGCTGATTAAAAACAGCAAGGTCCTGTTTGCATGCTTACAAGTCAGCATGGGCTATTGGAAGTTTTTATCCCCCATTTTTTAGATTTTGAAATGACTAATTATTTTTCATTTTATACCCCTCTCTGGACAAGCATGACATGGTCGAGCGTCACTCATTTCTACTTTCAGTTATGACCACCCTGCTTACCTGGGACAGATACTGGCACAGAAATGTACACTGTTGAGCCCCAAAACTGATTTCCTAATGTGAAAATACAGTTAGCCACCAATGCAGATGCAAGCTCTGTTGTGCCTAACAAGCCACAGGTGATGCCTCTGCTCTCCAGCATGGTGAAAATTTCTCTCTCACGCACTTAGGTCTCTTAACCAGCCTTAACCCCATGTCTTTCATACTAGCTCAGCTCTCCATTGCATAATTGAACTCTTAATTAATTTAGACCCCTTTTCAGAGCTGAACAAAGTTAAGATTCACAGCTTCGGAGTAGGAATAAAGCACAGGTTCCAGTCATGCCTGTTGAGATTCAGTTAAGTAGAGAACTTGGCTGGAATGAAAACCAGTGAGTGGGTGGTCTACCCAGGGCCAGGGAGGCTAAGCCATACTAATGTCATAGTCCAGATGGCAGCCAGCAGTGTTGGGCTACAGGGTTTAACCTGGCACTCGTAGAGCTGCCAGCTGCCAACTGACCACCATGCTTCTTTTGTTTAACTTTTTCATCTTTGTCGAGTATATTTTTAGTCCGCCACTAAAGCCTTTGTGCGTACACTTTGCAAAGATCCTGGACTTACAACAGTTGTCCATGTTTTTTCTC